GGGGGGGGGGGGGGGGAGGAAACCAAGCCCGGTATTGTATTGTGGTGACCGATATCGTACACGCGGCGAATTGTGTCGCATGGCTGGCGATGTCCAAGCATGGTAGTATCGAGCACTATTCTGGTTCGAGGAAGACGACCACCTCGCGGCTGCAGTAAAAAAGCGCGATGCATCGAGGTCTTGGGAGAAGTGCTGGGAGCATCATCCTGCGCGACAGGCGCGACGGGGTTACAAGGTTACACAGGGGTTACAATAGTTACACAAGCGTTACAAGGATTCAGAGGCTATGAGAGCACGGGACCACGCTTCACTGATCCCACGAAAGTGGCTCCAGAATCACTTTGGTCATAAACTGGCGGTCGGCGACTCCATGTGGAGTGGGTGGCTCATTCCCTTGACCTGTCATCTCTCATTTGGTGGTGGGGTTGGTGGTGGGGGGGGGGCGCTGAAGGACCACACCTATGCAGGTACCTGAGACGGCCGCCGAGCTCAGACCAACGGAAGAACTGTTGATTCCCCATCGCTCAGTGCGCAAACGCTGTGAACAGTTCACCGAGCGCACTCAGGTGTGCTTATGCCGTCGGGCAAACATTTTGAGCATGTAGTAAAACAGCCGCATAAGCAACGCGGGACGTCTGGTCGTCATCAAATGTTGTGGGTCTTATATGAAGAAAATTAAAAATGCTGTGTAAACGTCTAAGGCTCTTAACTGCAATAACTGCAAACTCAATAACCGCAAACACGAGTATACCAATTGTGCCATAGTTTTGTTCGGGCCATTCGGTGTTTTATCATGCACATCGTTTAGTGTATCCAGCAAAGGTGGCACAGCTCATTTATTACCAATGACGCTTACACGTGGAATATTCCTCCCGATTTTCATCTGCAGATCAATAAGATGCAAAACCAAATGATTTGTTTAACATAACCCTTAGCTTTTTTTCGTTCCGCTCCAGCGGAACGAACCATCTGTATTGTGCCTTTTGAAATAATTCGGTTAGGCTACGTACGCGTGACCGTTCGTGCGCGAGTCATTTGACCCACACTTTACCCACACCTACATATTCTTTATTGGCCCTGTTATGGTTCGTACATGGCTACGATTCGATTGCGATTCGTAACTTATGAACATGTTCGACTGCCATCGGTTTTCAAAGGAAGTAAAAGGAGGGAGAAGGTAATACGAAATTCTAATTTTTCCTTCATGTTTCTTACACCGATTTATTTCACATTCCAAAAACCATTACTTCCAGATAGATCGGTCGTTCTTGCACGCCCTGTTGGCCGCCGCCTGGCGTTCGATGCGGCGGTCATGACCGCTGGATTTGACCATGACACGACAGTCATCGGTGTTTTTGTTCCCAAAGGTTGCGATGCTCATGCTCAAAGCCATTTTTACCAATCCGTTCTGAAAATTATGGGCTTTCTCAGACCAACATATGTCGGTCATGTCAATGTAAGTTTTTGACCCTATTTCAATCCGCCCTGTTGAACATTATAGGGAGAGACATTACCTTTCCTGGGCAGGAGAGTGGATGGGTAAAACACTAGAGAGCATATTACCCTTCCCAGTCTGGGAGTCTGGGGCTTATGGGCCCTGTTCCGTCCAGGGGTATCCACTGGTTGTCATTCTGGCGACATGATTGCCGGATCCCCTGACGAATTCGGAGACTCATATTGGGATGCATCAAACAGCGGTCATTTTACTGACGCCGGAGCCCTCTGATCGGGGGAGTTAGTCCGGGACTGACGCAGAGGCCCTCGCTAACGCAAGGAGCCCTTACTGGAGTAGTGCGGTAACTGCCATAAGAGCCCAGTACAGTTTATCAGGACCCTGGCTAGAACGGGTCGGAGGGTTCCCGGTTCAGGACTAGGGTCCCCCGAAAAGGCCAAGGAGGGACCTGGGCCTCACGGGCCACAGGGACGTTCCACGGTCTCATTTTGGGTACTTTCATTCACAGGCGTAGGAACGTTTCAAAAAGTGAGGGGCCAAGCTCAGGGCGTACTTCAGAAACTTTCTGGAAAACAATGACCGGGGGGGGGGGGGGCTAGATATGGAGGTCATCGCTGTTTATTCAAATGTAATGACTGATATTCTGGATATGCATCTCGAGCCGTTTCTCACTGGTGCACACTCTTGCCTATCCAACTTATCTATGTCATTCGGCAAATAACACTATCCACTTCCCAAGATTATTCGCCCATTCAACATTGCATTTCCTAGGGACGCGAAAATCGAAAAGGGGTCAGGCATTTTGGGTCATTAAGGAGTTATCTGTCTCCACAGGGTAGATTCCGAAATATGGCCTAAGCAAAGGCTGGTGGGATTGTGAAGGTGAAACGATGGCTCACAGTACAACAGATTTTGTATTCGCCTTCATTTTGCTGGCTGCTTTTCAAGAGATAAGACTTGTCGCGGCATTTTAGGCGGAAACTAATTCGGAAGCTTGAAAGTGCCAAAAACCATGTGACAAAAGTCACAAAACTGGAGATTCGCCTTTGAGAACCAAGCCAAACAATGCAGGTCCTTCTGTCATATATTCCTTGTCTGAGCTCTGCTCCCGTCCGCCTTGGGTGGCCACTGTCCTGGCCCGGCTATCTCCGAATGACTGACAGCAGAATGTTGGTATGGCTGCTTTGTTGCACATTTCCGGATCGGCATTGCTACTATTTGGGATGTAAAACATGTGTTGGACACCTGCAACACTGCGTTTTTACCGCATTATCTTCCCTTACACTACACGAACCCAGAAAAATGGCTCTGGGAAGCTGCTTACCTTAGGTATGAATTGGCCCAACGTAAATTGCATTGCCCGCCACTCAACGTAGATGCCTTGATTTGCTTTCGCGTGCAGGCAGGGGGTAGCCAGTCTTGCTGAGAGGAACGCAGAGTTGACAGAAGCCCCTCTTATGGTGATCCACCTCCCCCCTCCCAAAAAATCCTCTGATATATTTTACTTGTTACCAATGGATACGGTTTTCGTCGTTTCATCGTTAGTTTTGCGTCGCAACCAGAACAGAAACCAGAAGCAACAGTGAGATCAATTCTGCTTACATTTTTAAGGTCAATGAACCATAGAGGTCAGGCGTTTAACGACTACATGGAATAAATCGCATATGTCTTTAATTTACAATGGTTTAGTGAACTCTTTCTAAACCGACAGAATTCAGAAACTTTTTCATACCGTTTCATATGCGTGCTAGACATTGAGGACATCGCGAAGGTAGACTGTAGATCGATATGTTTGATCGAAATTTGAGGGTGAAAATATTGATTGTAGATCGAGTGGTCAACATGTTTGTCTGAAAATGTTAAACATTTAGTCAGAATCGATCAGTGACACAATTTATATAACGTGGTTTTTAACATGCGCGTTCGCAAATCCTATCAACAAAAACCTCGACGCACGGCGTTGCAGTCTCCGTAGGTCGCGCATCGTCGGCCCAATAGCTAATAGTGAGCCGTGGCCAGCGAGTGGACGAAAATGATGACGCTTCTGACAGAAGTACATTTGAACGCTTCAGGACATCAAATCTTACATCTACAATACAGTCTGGGTGCATAGGCTGCGAGCGGGCATGCTCAATCCTTTTGACGTATTTTTTTCACTTATCCACTCTGAAAAAATGATCGTGCTTAGCCAAACATGGGATGGCTTTGTTCGCTTTTTTAAATTAATGTGGACCCACTCTATTCAACAATAATGGGAACCCGCTCTACTCATCAATAATGAGACCCCTTATTTCCTTCCGAGCAAGGGGCCCCTTGAGTAGAACACCAGGGGCACATTACCGGTTCAGGCCAAGGGCTGATGGGCCACTCCGTCCCATCGCGAAGTGTCTTCTGTCATTCTAGCGACCTGGTCGATCCGGAGGCTATTGCAAGAATACAACATATCACATTGTTCCCCTCCCTGACACGGGAGGCCCTCTGACCCGCGCAGTTGGCCCCAGACCAGCACAGGAACCCTCATTGACGCAGCAACATCCCTGATCGCCAAAGGTGGTCCAATAATTGCCACATACGCTCCAGTTCCGTGTTTTTCTGTGTTGCCCAGAGATATTGAGCAATCCTGAATGTAGATTGTAGATGAAATGAGTCCCAAGCTTGTCTTAACATGGCTAATCGGTGTTCGTCTTAAAATGTTCAAGATTCAGTCAGAATTGATGACTGATAAACAACCATGTTATATGGTTTTGAACGACGCGCTCGCAAGTCATAGCAACAACAGCCCGGACGCCCGGCGTGGCAGTCCCCATCCGCCGCGTGGAGTCGGCCTGTGGCTGTGACACTACGTGATAGCCAATAGGCGAACGAAAAAGATGACGCATATTGAGGAAGATGGCTGGTGAACTGAGCAAATCGGCATGTCCATTTAAATGTGGTGGAAACTTAAACTAAACACAACCTTAATCTGAAAAGTGTGGGGGGGGGGGGCAGTTAGCACTGCTGGCCCCCCAGGCCCCCCTGTTCCCACGCCCATGTTTTCATTGCTATGCATCGTACCTGCTCTCAATGTTTGAGGATTCCCTCTTGTCGGCCCCGCTTCACCCCAGCGTACCCCAGACAGGTGGCCAGAAAAGTGGTCCCTAAAGCTTGCATAAAAGTAATTTCATAGTTGCACCACCGGGAGCAGGACCCCCCTCTCCAAGACGTTCCAAGGTGGATCAGGGCAACAAAACACAGCACGACACTGAACTTCTCACGGCCTTCCTCCTGTTCAAAGACGAGTATCAGCACAAGGATCTATGACACGCCTTCTACAATTGGTTCGAGTAGTCGCTGAAATATGCGCAAGTAGAATATGATTGGCTGAAAGCATAGAAAATCAGCTGATTTACTTGATCAAATACATGCACTTACGCGATGGCTACATGTATCCATCTTCCTGAATATGAACCGTACTTAAGTACAGCGAATGAGCTACGGTTTCGAGACATATTGACCAATGACATAGTCCCACGACCGTAATGCGCTGGGTCTTGCGTTAGGGATGATGAACACATGTGAATTGTCCACGAAGACTAGTAGGAGCTGACGTAGTCGGGAGGAGTTGGTGCGTGTGGTTGGGGTCCGTGCTGTGACAGTTTTCTGAATATTTGCGCAGGATGCTTGTATCTTGATATCATGGCTTGACTACTTTTGCTGGAATATCCCTGCAAGTTTAGATACTCAAGTTTTACTGCCACATTTAACGTAGCAAGAGGGACCCTGTATTGGAAGACGGACAGGTGCTGGTCGCAAACCATGGCGGAAATAGCAAATTTGCAGTGTTATCTGGCATCACTATGGCTATTTTATTTGGCCATAGAAATGAATATCCAAGGTAAGTTGTCTTTATGTGCTTTATTCATGGAAACAAGGCTTATCACTTATAAATTTAGTTGAAAGAAAACGTGATTACCTATAGGTGCTCTGGTGACATATTTAGTGGTGCTTACAATGATGAACTTAAAATTGGTGTTTCTAATTATTGTGCTAACTTGCGTTACAGATACATCATCCCTGTCAACATCGGATGTTGATCAGCACCTGGAGATGGGCCTTAGACTGCTGGGCCAAGGACAGCTACAAGATGCATTGTCTCACTTTCATGCAGCCATTGGTATGTGAAACAAGGCTAAATATTCAAGATATAGGGATGGATGCTCTGGGAGTTTGAGGGGATGGACCTCCACAGGCTCACCAAAAGTTGGCTTTGGGCCAATGACATGTATATTAGGTATTGAGACGGTTGATATGTAGTGCCAGAAAAATCTAAACTTGCTATGATAATGGAATATTTCTGCATCACTGCTATGCATGTGGGCAAATGCAGTGAGAGCACTGTGCATCATTTTTATATTTAAATCTGAATTTTATGTTATGAACTTAATTTTTGATTTGTTGCTCAGGCTCTGCAATGCTGTTTTGTACACTCATCTGACTAGTGATCAATGCCCTAACTAGATATAGCAGATATATAGCATATATTGCATCTTGACATAGGTCCTACCAATCTGGCATGCTTATTACAGCTGGAAACTCATGATGCAGCTGGCAATATCCACAACTTCAAGGATGTAGGACCTGTCAAAAAGGTCTCATTTCATTGTTCCTCATATAGGCAAGAAATTTTGATTCCAAAAGCAACTCTGCAGTTCCAGCATAACATTGGACTAAAATATTGTCACAGTTAAACTACCATCACTATGTAATATGCACCTTCCACTGATTGGAATCATGCTGAGGCTAAGCCTCACATAATTATTATAGCACATATGAAGAAAATCTGCAAAAGCAAAAACTGCATGAAATCTGCTTGAAAAAGTGTATTGGGGTGGCCTCCAACATTTTGCAACATTCTGCACATAAGGTATGCCCCTGTTGCTGAATCAGTTAGAACACCTCTCTCCCATCTTTTTGTGGCTTGGTGGGTAGATCTGAGTTGTTTGAGTGCTCTGTTTGCCCCTGAATGTAATGTCCTGCAAGTGTTGGCAGTGGCTGCTCAATCAAGGCAGATGAGGCCAGAAGGCAGGATGGACCATCCCATATGCTGTGGCACATTAAGTTTTTGGCACAAAATTCTGCCATTGGACAATTTTGTGGAGTTTCATAACTGGATGGCATGGGTCAAGGTCCACAATCCAATAATCTGAACCCAGGCATCCTTTTAAACAAAATGGTTGGTCCTAGGTTAGAATATTAATATGATTTCTTACCACAGCCAATTATTTTTATGTTTGTGACCAAAAGGTTGGCAACAGAGCCCCAGATGAGTGCCTCTTAAAGTGTGCATAGTCAGAAGTCTTTATCAGAAACCAACTATAAAAGAGGCTTTTGCTTGATTATATGTATATATATATATATATATATATAATGATTATACATATATATATATATATATATATATATATATATATATATATATATATATGTATATGTGTTGAATGCATTTGATTGTGCATTTGCATGCATTTGATTGTGCATTTCCTTGCATATAAACAAGACACTTGGAAGCATCCCTGACCTGCTGACCATGAACTACCAATTTGGAAGAAATATCACATTTCTTCAACATTGTGCTGGTAATGCAGGTAGCTGATATAATCATTATTGGGTCTTTAAATCAGATAGGAAAGCAGCATTACATTAAATGGTGGCATTTCAAAAGCATCAAAAGATGCAAATATATTCAACATTCAAGCTGTACCCTATAACACTCAAGACTGTGTGTCTGTAAGGCCTACAAGAGGTTAAGCTGCATGCATGTTGCATCTCTTAGGTATTTTTGGCTTCCAAGAAATCATTACATGGGAGAGCTTCTAATGGCATTTGTGTGCTCATGTTAGCCTGTTATGTAATGTTTCATTTTCATGATAGATGTGAACAGGGTGACTGCTTGGCTTTAGAAGTGACCTTGAACCATGTTTTGATCCAGTGTTTCTTTGGTTCTGCAGATGCTGATCCACAGAACTACCTGACATATTACCGGAGAGCGACTGTGTACCTGGCATTGGGAAAGGCAAAGCATGCCTTACCTGATCTGCAGCAGGTGTTGAAGAAGAAACCGGACTTCTTGGCGGTGAGTTTGGATGGGGCCGTACTTTTGATATGTCAACATTAGGCATATGTTGGATCTTTACTAAAGTGGGGAATGGCATAGTCCTTTATCCCTGTTTCCATGCATATCCATGATTGTAAAGGTATATTGTCCATGCATGGATTGTGCCAATTTTAAAGTAACATTTCCATTTCTGCCAGCCAGTGCAAAATGTTTTGGCTGGTTGATTGCTTTTTCAGATATTTTAATGTACCTTGCCTAAGATTGCAACAAGATGGGGACATGACAATGTGATGCAGGGGTTAATGATGTGTCCAATTATAGCAGGATTAATGCGACCTTGTCTTCATCACACATAAGCATGTTGTAAGTGCATTGCTTGTATTTTGTAATACCTATGCTACATAACATTGAAGAACACTTTGTTTCCTGTACTTTCAGGCAAGGCTGCAGAGGGGCAATGTCCATTTGAAGCTAGGAAATCTGGACGAGGCGCATATCGACTTTGAGGATGTGGTAAGCAGGCATGTCTAGCTTGGTGTTTGGTAGCACCGCCTCGCTCTTCAGTCTGCGTAAATTATCTGATATGTGAGCCATCGGTTTTTATTTGTTTGCTCTGCACTCGTGAGTTTCGAAAGCAGGCACATTGTGGCATTTACATCGACCGACCAACACCCGGCATGCCTGATGTCATGTCATGTCATGACGTCATGATCCTCGCGTGCGACCCCAGCCCCTCCTGCTAATCTCTGCCCTCGCCGCCAGCTGCGGCGGGACCCGGACAACACGGAGGCGCTGCACGCGTACACGCTCATCGACCAGGTGCGCGAGGACGTGCGTCAGGCGGAGGCGGCGCGCCACTACGGCGACCACGAGACGCACGTGGCGCTGCTGACGCGCGTGCTGGAGGTGTGCCCGTGGTCGGCGCCGCTGCGCCAGCGCCGCGCCGACAGCTACGTGGCCATGGGCGACCTGATCGCGGCGCTGAGCGACCTTCGCACCACCACCCGGCTGGTGACCGACAACCGCGCCGGTCACCTGCAGATGGCGCTGCTTCACTACCGGCTGGCCGAGGCGCAGGAGTCGCTCGGGTGAGAGGCGGCCCCGGCCGACGGGGGCCAGGGAGGCGGGCTGACCAGCTGGCGGCTGGTCTGGGCGGCGCTGTGTGGTCGTGGTGCTCGCACCTTCTGCGTCTTGATCATCTTGAGATTAACTCTGCCAGATCTGTAGTGGCCAGATCTGTGGTGGCATCGCTGTGCTGACTGGCAGCTCGAGCGAAGTGAAATATGTACGCCGAAATATTTGTGAATTTATGACTGGCATAGAAGAACGAATTTTGAGTGATATATAATGCACATAGCATGGTTTGCCATGTGATAGCAGAACGAAATTATGGTTCAATTGCTGTGTTGCTCCCATATTATATGCTTCTATATCATTCAATGCTTACATAACATGATACTCTTTTTGGTAAGTTACAAGTGATAATCACGTTTCAGCGAGATACGCGAATGCCTGAAGCTCGATCAGGACGACAAAGAGTGCCACAATCACTACAAGAAAGTGAAAAAGGTTGTGAAGGCCCTGGACAATTCTCAAGAGTACCTGAACGCGGAGGACTTCGAGGCGTGCTCACGGTCAGCAAGCAAGGTAGGAGACGACTGAAAAGTCATCTAGAACTAATCCACTCCCATACATTTTTAATTGTCTCCTCGAATACTCTGCACACCCTTAGATCTAGGTGCGTACTCTTCAACATTGTGTTCGTGTGGACCGAACGTCACGGTTTATTGACGCCATGTTAGGACCGCTGCCAGAGCGGTGCTTCGTGGTGTCCCGTCAGCCTTAGGTCAGCTGGGCACCGCCCACTCCCCGTTCACCCCCTCGCGTTGCCCTGGCCCTGTTCAGTTGCTCACCCCATTCGCCCATGTCCAGGTGCTGGACGTGGAGCCGACCGAGTCTGCGGTGCGTTTCCGCGCCCTGGAGCGCATGTGCACGTGCCAGGCGCGCGAGGCGGCGCCGGACGCCGTGGCCACGTGCACGCGCGCCCTGGATCTGCGTCGGGAGCCGCGCGTGCTCTGCGAGCGCGCCGAGGCCTACATGGCCGACGACATGTTCGACGAGGCCATCCGAGATTTCCAGCAGGTCGGTGAGGCTGCTGTGCGGCAGGGGGCGCAGGCAAGGCGGCTGTGGTGACGCTGCTGGGGTAGGGGGAGCGCATGTCGCGGCGGCTGCGTCGGTGGCGGGGTTAACTGTTGTGCGCCGAGCTTGCAGGTGTTTCTTTTTTTGTCAAGATCGGAGTCCCCTGCGATGGCGTAGCGTGCCTCGCAGCTTATGCCGGAACTGTTGTGGTGGTAACAGCGAACAGGTGTGGTATGGCGGTAATGTCCTGCGCCAGTTTTGCACTTCAAGCTATTGGACGGCCCTCCTGGGCCGCCATGTGTCGCCGCAGGCTGAACTCTGTCTGAAATAAGCAGCATTGACGTTGATTGAACGTCAGTGCTGCTGATTGACGGTGAATCTCTAACGTTAAATCTATGCAGCAGTGAGATGTAGCTTGGCATAGCTTTATGTGGGTATGGACGGGATAATCAAGCGGTGTGGATTATGGAACGGAACGAGCAATCGCTGTTTTGCAGGCGTTGGAGCTAGACGAGGGTTACACGCGAGCTAAAGAAGGCTTGGGCAAAGCGCAGAAAAAGCAGAAGCTTCAAAAGAAGAGGGACTACTACAAGATTCTTGGAGTCAAGAAAACAGCGTCAAAGAAAGAGATCACGAGGGCGTACAGGTCTGTGCCATTTTGTTAAGTGTTTGTTGTTGCAACAGGCTGTTATCATTATATATTTAATTAGCATGATTAGCATGTGTGCGCCGGAAACGTCAGGAACCATCGTCACGATCAACCAGAAGCGTTTTCCATGTTGGGTTGGGGTCGGCAGAAACAGACTGCAATGTTTAATTCTATGCGTAATTGTCAAGCACTCCGTTGCGCATCGTGACCACCTGTGGCGTGGCGTGGCAGGAAACTGGCGCAGCAGTGGCACCCCGACAACTTCGCCACCGGCGACGAGAAGGAGAAGAAGAAATCTGAGAAGATGTTCATCGACATCGCTGCTGCCAAGGAGGTTCTCACCGACCCCGGTATGTTGAAGGATGTGCGGCGCCGGAACCAGCTCAAGGGGGGGGGGGGAGGGGTCTGTTGGGGGCAGACCAGAATCTCTTAGTTTCAGTTGTGTGGCACTGCGACGTGGGGTTGATGCTGATATGCCCAGACCTTTATCCCGGCAATGACACACTGCAGCTCTGCTGCCCAAAGGTAAAACCCCATATGTTAATTTTTGACCATTTTGCGCTTTTTATGTCGTCTTGTTCATCTATTCATGCTGATTTCGATAATTTAAACAATCAGTTGAAATTTTCACAGACTTTAAGCTCATTCTGTTAGCTAAAAGTGTGTGAAATTCCAACTATCGATTTAAATATCCGAATGCAGCATGAGAAGACGAATCAGATGACACAAAAAAGCAAAATGGCTAAAATTGAACATAGGGAATTTTACCTTTGGACGGCAGAGCTGGGAGACGTCTGTATGGAATTGTTTCTAGTAGGCTCAAAGTTGTGGACCGGTGTGAATTGCCACGATCACCTAGTTTAGTTCTCTTCGTTCTAATGCTGATAATATTTCAGTAATTTGCATTGCTCCGTCGTTTTCACTTATCATTTCATTTGTATGTTAAGGTGTGTGGTAACCCGAGCGTTTTGTTTCGCTCAGTCACACGATGAAACCCGGACGCCCGGGTGAGGAGACTGGCAGGCGCGTCGGCAGTTGTCGTTTTTACGGGAATGCGAAACCGCGGTCTCAGTTCCGCAACCTGTGCTAGGCTGTCAGCCATGACTGGTCTACTGCTGTGCCCCTCCCACCCCCATGCGCACCTTCGGAGGCGGAGCGTGTCCGCCGCCCCGTGACCTGACACGGCCCCCTGGCGCGTGTTCGCAGACAAGCGGCGGCAGTTTGACAACGGCGAGGACCCGCTCGACCCGGAAACCGAGGCCGGCCGCGGCTTCAACCCGTTCGGCCAGGGCTTTCACGGCTTTCCTGGTGGTGGTGCCGGCGGTGGACCTTTCCACTTCAAGTTCCACTTCAACTGATAGATGCCGCCACCGGTGCGGCGGACCTGTGATATGCAGACATCCTCGGAGTGTGCGCGCTGAGGTCCGTGGCGGAGGGACACGTTAGTGGGGAGTTAGGGAGCGGACGCTGTTCATGTTCGCAGGGACTTATGTCGTCCCGAGCGAGCTCTGCCCAGCACAGTGGCGTACGCTCCATGTTCGGGCACGGAACTCATTGGCTGCTGCAAACTCGATGTTGTGATCTGCGCCTAGGTCAGTGGGTGCGTGTGTCAAGTCCGCGGTGCCTTCTAGGGTCGACACGGCACCAAGCGGCTCATGGATACAAATCGCGTGATGGATGCAGCCCGCGTAGTGCGCGGGGCGGGCACGAATTCCGCTGCTCTGGGTAACGTGCAAAGGTGCAAACAAAGGTAATCGATAAGGGCCGTGTACAAAATTCATGGTGCGGTGGGTATTGTGGTGTTCGGCATTGTAACGGCGAGTCATTACGTTCCTTACTTTTCTGTAAATGCTTGGTAAAAAAAGGCAAATCATGGCTCGGCATAACCTAAGTTATTGCTTTGGCATTGTTTGAGTAGTTTCCATGCTTGCCGGTTCGCTCTGCTTGTGATTGCCATTATGGAACAGTCGAGTACGTAGACAATCCGGATCCCACACGTCATGCTTTGCGGGTACGTAGCCGGAGGGCTCACCGTAGCGGTGTTTGTTTCGGCATTTGTGCCTCGTCGCGTGCCGTCTGGTGACAAGAAATACAAATGCCCCGATCAGGTGCGCCGTGAAATAATGAGCGAATTCCTGGCATCAGCTGGTGCGATCGCAACCAGGTTGTCAGTCATTACATGTGTGGTGCGTGGCTCGTGGGCCTACGCGCGGGGCGGTGTCGCCCTGGATACACCGTGGCTAGCTGGTGGTCAGCCACCGGTACAAGTCATCGTAGTGGAGTCAGGTCGATGGTGAACGGACGTGAGGGACCATGGAAAAGCGCGGAGTCAGGCACAGCCACCGAAGGCCGTGCGAAAACGGTTGCGAATCTTTCCGCCTTGTCTGGCGAGTCGCAAAAGTACTGATTCCTGCGAGTTCAGTTAAACATCTGTGCGGAAGTTCTGCAAAGGGGCCTTGACTCCGTCAGGTACTGCCATGAATCAGCAGATCCTAGCTGGGCAATCACGAACTGTCCAAATTTCCGCAGACGACGCGCGCTTAGGAAGCAACGCACAATGGAATGCATATGTAAGTGGTCGTCAGTTGTGCCACGCCGTCATCCGGCAATGATCCGGTCCGTCTCGGGTTGTCGTCTTGGGCGAATAGCACAGAACCGCGTTCCGAACAGCTCAATTGACTAGTGAATGCTCGCGTAAACGCGTCGCTGGCCCTATTTGGAAATCAAAGCGATCTAGGCATATCAGCGTTTTGGCACGTGAAATCGTGTCGAATCCGCTAGAGCCGCTACCAGTGGGCTTCTCACCAGACGGCTCTCACCGGTCGCAGAGCAATCATATGTTTCGTGCTTACGTCATCCGTAACGGTCAATAGCGCCGCGTACCTCAGGTTTTTCGGCGTCAATTTTTCGGTGGACCGCATCGCCTTGCCGAAAATTAAAATAACTGCGGAACAAGTTGTATTTGAAACCAGAGTATGGCAGCTGCACCACACAGCCGAAAGGCACGGCTCACAGCAAGCTGCTGATCATGCCGAGCAGCGAGGTGATAGGACTAGCCACTTGTCAACAAAACAACGAATATGGCAGTATTCCTTCCCACAGCTTCAGTCCAACATCGGCTGGCGTCCCTGCTCCCGCAGCTTTACCAGCCCTGTGTCCGGCCTGGTTCTGGGGCTGAGGCGGCGTTCGGCCGCCTCGGCGTCTCTGTTCTCGCGGCTCCATCAGACCTGTGTCTGGCCTCTTTCTCGGGTTCGCGTGGCGTTCGGCCGCCTCGGCGTCTCTGTTCTCGCGGATCCATCTGGCTTGTCTGGCCCCGTTCTCGGGTTCGCGTGGCGTTCGGCCGCCTCGGCGTCTCTGTTCTCGCGGATCCATCAGGCTTGTGTCTGGCCCCGTTCTCGGGTTCGCGTGGCGTTCGGCCGCCTCGGCGTCTCTGTTCTCGCGGCTCCATCAGACTTGTGTCTGGCCTCGTTCTCGGGTTCGCGTGGCGTTCGGCCGCCTCGGCGTCTCTGTTCTCGCGGCTCCATCAGACTTGTGTCTGGCCTCGTTCTCGGGTTCGCGTGGCGTTCGGCCGCCTCGCCGTCCCTGTTCTCACAGCTCCATCAGACCTGTGTCCGGCGTTATTCCGGGGTTCGGATGTCGTTCGGCCGCACCGGCGTGCCATGTTCACGTGGCCGTCCCACCGGCAGCTGCCCAGCCGGCAGACGCCGGCGACGCGGCGGTCGGCGGGCTGGACGGCGCGTGCCACGAGCGGCGCACGACGCGCAACCATGCCCAGCTGCCGGTGTCCGTCGAGCTGCGGAAGAGGCAGGGCCGGCGTCACGGCGGTGCCTGGATGACGCCACACCAGGCGGCCACACAAGCCCGAACCGCCATCACACAAGCTCAACCAGTCACAGATATCTGTCGGCATAAACATCACACAAGCTCAACCAGTCACAGATATCTGTCGGCACAAACGTTATGACCGCACACCGCTAACGCAGACAGACAGCTTTCCCGCGGCTTCGCTTCTGGCAAGCATCGACGGTTAACCGGAGCTCACCGGTCCCGTCGGAAGCACGATACGCAGCAACGCGTGAGCGCCTCAGGTAGCGGGCGGCACCGTTCCCTGGGGCGAAGATCCGGCTCCATCCGCGTCCGGCGGCACACTATCCCGCCGCCGCGCCCTGCCAAAGGTCGAGGGCCAGGTCAGGTCAGGTCAGATCGGCAGAGCCCCCGCCGAGGGCACGCCCGCCGCCTGTCCACGGCACGCGGCAGCCGGCAGAGAGCACACCGGGTGGTGACCATCCACACAGCTCGGCAACTGACGACGTGGGGGCCGCGGCCGGCGGCGACACCACACCACCCAGCGACTGAAGGTCGGGCGAGCGCGGCACGAGGTGTTACGTTCTGAGCGTCCATCCGGCGGGAGGGCCGCGACGGGGCCACCGACTGCGACCCGACTGCTCCGTCATGCACTGCGTCTGCCTGGCGCGGTGGCACGTCTGGCCCTCCAGGTGGGCTGGACATCTGGCCATTCGGGCGGCCCATCAGGCACCACTGGCCCGGATGCGGCCAACAGGGACACAAGTCGGTGTTACGTTACACGCGCTCAGAGGCGGGCCAGCCCGTAGCAGCTGAGGGAGGGCTGCAGACAGATGGAGAGCCGGATCGGCTCAACTTACTGACGTACGTCCGCTTTGACCGTCCGCTGCCGATGCTTTGACAAAGGAAGGACTGTTTTCCTCCGCTGCGCCATGTACAGACACAGATCGGCGCCAGTTTGGCTGCACGGTGACGGAAGACTGACGGCACGGGCCGAGAACGCTGCTCACGGGCAGGCCGAGGCCGAAGCCAGGGCTGTGGCGGACGGCAAGAGTCCGACCGCCCGTTTATTTTAAACGGCGCATTACAAACAATGGGACAACAAGGTTCACAAACATAAAATTGTCACTCCATCAAAGGGGCTAGTCGATTCTCAGATCAGGGTGATCCGTTTGTACCGTTAACACCATGGATGAGCATACTAAACTCGATGAGGTCGGTGCGGGTAAATGGTACTAAAGACACGCTTGCCCGAACATTTCTGTTCAGGCTGTTCTCGCTCCCATCGACACGAGGTCAGCTTCGTGGGTGCCGTCTCGCGTGCCAGCGCTCTCGCGTGCCAGCGTTCTCGCGCGCCGGCGTTCTCGCGCGGTGAGCACAACCATTGACAGAGTCAGGACAGGCGATGGGTTCCTCCATCACGCGCCTCACACTGAACATCGAACGTCAAACGGGTGGTGGCCGCCTGCCGCCTTGCGGCCGCCGGCCGAACTAGCATCAGCCGTGGGCGACGCCGGAGGTCTCTGCACTCGCGCGCTCGACCATGAGTGCGCTGCGCGGAAGAAGTTAGGCTGCGTCCTCGGACGCCACAGGCGTGGCCTCTGCGCCGTTTTCGGCTTTTGGTTCGGCATGATTGGCATTTTCTGCTGCAGTCACGTTTTCTTTGGCCAGAGTGACTGCGTCCGCCAATATTTTGTCAACATCCTGCAATATTTAAAGGGGCACAGACAGTTAGAAAAGGCAAGGGCTTCTGCACATGGCAGATTGAGACCAAAGCATAACATACAAACTGAACTTAAAATGAACATTTCATCAGTCTCGCCTTCAAATAAATTTTCACAGATATGAGCACCAGCGATACATTGGCCATTTGCCATTGACAAAGAAACAATTTTCTCTAAACACAAGCTATTCTTCAAAATTTCAACTGAATATCGATAAAGTGATATAGATCCTCCAAATCGCGGGCCACCCGTGTGATTTGCGAGACGCCCTGTGACCAACGGAGGACTTGATAATACCCGGTCGGATAATACCCGGGTGAAATCGCGGGGCCCACTAGCCCAGCACCGCGGACTGAGCCGGTCCCGGTTCCGCCCCCCCCCCCCCCCCCCCCCCCAGGAGCCCCTGTCCGCTTCACGTGACACTTACATCCTCGTCGTGCAGGCCGATGTACTCCATCTTGGCGGCGCGCAGCATGGCCGACACCTTGTTCCGCTGCTCCTTGAACGCCTCGAAGTCGCTGGCGTCCTTGGATTCGCGCGACTTGGAGTGCATCTCGTGCTTCTTCTTGATCTCGGCGCGCAGCTCGTCCGTCACCCACGGCTTCATCAGGTCCAGCGCGTCCCTCTCCTGCGACAGACGTCCACAGCATCCCCACGTGACGCTACCACACACAGACCAGAATGGACGATGATTTAGCCTTCTTTGATTAACCATGTCTTTAGATTAGGGTGCTTCGACTAGATTTACACTTTCAAAAGCAGTGAGATGAAATCACATGCTGAATCAATTCCAGACTAGAGGACAGTCCTGGGCTGTCTTATGCAAATAAGCCCTTAAGTCCTTGGTATCTCATAGGAGAGGCATTCATATTTAGAAGAGCTGACAATTGTGTCAAATATAAGCCTATTCTTCATGTAGATAATTCATTACTGTTAATCATATTCCTTGTAGAATGACAAGGAAAAGGGAGAAATAGATGCATTGATATTTCAGCTACTAAGCCTATGCCAAAATAAATCAAAAAAATAAATAAATAAATCCAAAAGATCCCAAAAATCAAAAAAAATAAATCAAAAAATGTGAAATTGGTACTCCTATTCATTTTGATGGTCAAATGGCCAAAATATGACTCCATTTACTTCTCATTTCCCCTGGTCATTCTATGAGGACTAAGGCTAATAGTCATGTCTTATCTTAACATACTAAGGTCCGCACAAATACACTTAAAGTGAGTGTTCTACATTTGAAGATATTGACACAAATATCAGACATAACCAGACAAGCCAACTTATAGTTATTGGTACATATAGTGGATAAGGCTGCTCTGGCAACACAATTTCTGTTTAGCACATGCTCCTCAATATATTGTTATTTGATCACATTATCGCACCCTGCACAACATTGGTTGAGAGCTCATTAGTGGCCGTTGTATTTGGTAATCCTGCTCATGAACGCCAAATATGAATGACTTGACAATGACATTTTTCTTGGCATCAATAACGGAATGACAGGATTTGAATGACGTCATTATGGCGTCATGGATGCCTGGGTGACCTAGAAATAGTCCCCCCAAAAAGTCTGTGCATAGTGATGAGCGCATAGCTTAGAAACTAGAAGGGTTTTTGTCTCAAGAATGGCAGGGCTGTGAACTGCACCAAGTGACCTTCAAGACGGCTATTTCAGTTCAAAACACAATATAAATGTGGAACACTCACTTTAACAACTATCTTTCATGTCACGGGAGCTGAAGCAGACAACAATAATACCCCCTGGAGAAAACAGCTGACAAACCTCCAATGCCAAAGCCGATCAGATCAATCTTACACGCAACGTGCCAAAACCAAATGAAATTAGACCTCATGACATCAAGTAGTGTCCTTGACGCCAAATACCTTTTCAGTCTTGGATTTGGTCTTGAACTTGACAACAGCCGCCTGACTGGCGCCCCTGGCTGAGGCTCCACGGCCTCTGACGGGCGCGCCGCGGCCCCTGATGGGCGCGCCCCGGCCCCTGACCGGTGCCCCGCGGCCCATGAGCGGCGGCCGGCCGACGCCGCGCGGCTCGAAGAACGGCACGCGCGGTCCGGCCATGAGCGGGCGCATGGGACCGGGCGGCACCGGCGCCGGGAACGGCCCTGGTCCGGCCCGCATCGGACCCGGACCCGGACCCGGACCCGGGCCGGGGCGGCGCGGCGGCGGCGGCCCGGGCAGCGGCCGCGGCGCCATCAGCGGCGGCCGGCCCGGCCCGAACGGGGGCCCCAGCCGGGGCCGCAGCGGCGGCGGCATGGGTGGACCACCCCGGCCGGGCTTCAGCCGCAGCGGCGGCACGCCGCGCATCATGTGACCACCCCGGGGCATGCCGCGGCCACGGAACATGACCTGAAAGGGCAGGCAGTGGGTCAGCTGGTGTTGACACTGTATGTACAGGATACACTAACCTGATATGCTGACAAATGAGAGGGGAATGGAAACAACATCTTTATAGTTCATCTCTGCTTTCTCTGGTATTTGTATGGTAGTCTCTTCATAATGGGCTTCAAACCTGGTTCAAGCACATTCTTTGTTGCCATATAGACTTAACAGAGTGGAAAGCATAGACATGGTCAAAAGTGAGCCTAGAAATGGTCTTTGCTCTCAATTGGTCCATAACAACAATATTTCATAGGCAAGTGTAGTTTGATTATTGGTTTAATTTGACAATTTGGGCATTTCAAGAGGCCATATTCCTGAAGCATGCTGCTTAGCTTGTGGTTGTAAAATTGTTTTTTAACAAACCATTGCAAATTACCTGCAGGAAACAACTTAACCCAAACTCAGTAACACATAACAAAGTGTTCCTGCTGGTACTGTGTATGAGCCATGTACAGCAACAAACCACTCATCTAATAAACATCTGATTTCACAGAATTAACAAAATGCCCAGACAATGAGCCTTTTCACTGTGCCATTTTGGGAATCACAGCCTTTAGTAAGCAAAGCTTGAAATATGTGCCTGACCCCCATCATCAGGCCACAGAATTATGCTATGGAGGTTTCACAAGAAAAACTATTTAACATTCCTCTAACTTCTGATATCATGTGAAACACCAGACCTAAGGCAGTCTGCAGTTGGTCAAACTGGTGAAGACACTTCAACTGGCTTGGTGTGGTAGACATAGGCACCTCATGTTACAAAAGAGCATTGCACATAAATCACTGTCTTCATGGAGGTTAATGCTGTAGATAACCATAAAACAGGTGGATCTCCACTTCTACCTGAAAAATGTAATATCACCATAGGCTACATCCAAACACTAGAGATGTAACACTCCTGACCCATAGGCACCATTACCACAAGTATATACTCTGCCTGCAGTTCCTCAATGACTATGACCTTTCAAGAAAAATAGGAAAAATTAGAATAAAACATAACCTGATCTAACCTAATACAGCCTAACCTAGCCTGGCATGGCTCAGCCCAGCCTGGCCTAGCCTAACCTTACCTTCCCATCATCACCCTGACCAACCTCCCCACCTAATCCCCTGCAACCCGTTGTCTAATTAACATCTGTGTCATCAGTGTAACAGAACATAATTTGACCAACATCTGCAGTCATCACCATAATTGTTATATTTTGAGGGTAAGTGCCAGATATATATAAATATACATGTTTTATGACCATTTATGGTGTCTGATGTTTTGCAAACATCAGTTCATAAACATTTAAGCATTACTGTGTAAGGTACCACTATGAACAATGGCCACCAGCTTAGCAACTGCCATGAACAGTATTCTGCATACTGTTCCAAGGTAAAACATGATTGTCTTAGATTGTCACTACACTGAGTATGGCCCAAAACTTAGTTCCAATACAAATTCCACATCAAGGTCAGGCAAATTTTTGCAGAATCTGCCTGTTATTAGCATAAACTGATAAAAAAACAAGGTTACGAAATGGATGCACCTGTACGTCACTCACAGCTCGAAATCAACAGCACGACGCACAAATGCGTCACATACGCAAAAAAGGCAGACCGGTTCTTTTCCAGCGTTCTCTGCGAACAAAACACAGGGACGCTTGCTGTATCCAAATGCTTTTCCCGTCGCTCAATGACGCAAATATTACAAAACGTATCACACAGCAGCATTAAAAGTACGAAACGACAGAGATCGCAACATTGGAGAACTGCGCTCGCTCTGCCTCATACATGTGGGAGGAACGTGCATGTGAATGAAGCACACTTGAGTCATTATCACAACTTACTCTTTCCCTACGTCTACCTAAAAGAACACTGCTATGATAGCGCGGACAATTGCAAGCAAGATTGCGTGTATCACGTACTAATCACGCGTCCCAACGCGTCACCCCGCCACACCCGCAACACTAAGCCCCTGAGTTTCCAAGACCGTTCAATATCAAGGGCGGTATGAAATGCGAGTGAGCCGCCAACACGATTTTGAACTACAGCCGAACCACGCGCGAAGAATCATCTGTGTCTTCGTGTAGCTGAATGAATCGTCGACTCAATGTATCTGACTTAACATATAAAGCACCTTCCATAAATATTATTTAACGTGCTTGGATGAGGTGATTCACTGCCGAAGACATGCTTAATGTTTCGTGTGACGCATAAGTCGACCAAGTTATTTTCTCAAAGTTGGATATGCGTCGATTAAGAAATAAAGGCTTTACAATGCGCTGGGAAGCTTGTTGGTTACCTGCTTTCCACTCTTTTGATTTTTTGCTGGGCCTACCGAGTAAAAATTATCATTACACCCATTCCATAAATAGTTAGTAAGCAAATGATTTAATTATACTATTTTTAGAGAAGGATGTGTTGAGGGTGGTAGGCTGTTGATACTGCATCATCGTACAATGTTTGCCTCATGTATTACGAAATAATGCAGTGTTAAACTGATGGCAGGCATTAGCTTGAATCAAAATTTTAAAAGCTGACTGGTCATATGCATTTGGTAGTTGACCACTGACGTCATTTTGGTAACAAAGCAGCCTATACCACTTGCTGTAAAACAGGTTCGTAATCAAATGTTGTTTACAATCACGGAACATTTTGTTGGAGGCTGTGCAGGCTTTTGTAGAGGGTGGGGTTGAATGTAAATCATAGGCCTGGGTTGCGCGGTGGGCGTTTAATTCAAGGGAATTTGGCCAAGGGCTTAGGGGCCTGTGGAATGTGGTCGCTGTTTTGAAGCAAGCTAAGGTGGGACACATGAGTTAGCGCGAGACGCTCGCCCGGACGAGCACAATAAGGTGATGCTTGTCTTCCGTAATGTCCAAGATAAAACGTTCTGTGTTCAGCTACATCTTAAGCGACTATTCAAGTCGTCCTCAAGGCATTCTATGAGTAACCTTGCTAACAAAACATGCATTGCTAAGCTAAAGGCTTACCTACTTAAATGTATAATTACAAGGATAGCATTTGCCAATGGGGCACAACAGACAATTAGTCAGCACTGGAATGTCATACATTGTGTTTTTAATGCATGTAATGACAGTATGGGTTTTGACTTAAGCACCCTTTTCCAAATAAATCTTTATGATAAATAAGTGATTTCATCCTTGCATTGAACTTAGTTGGTTAACCTCTTGGTTGCATTTTCTGTGGATTAAGTTTCAGCAGGCTTGGTTTCTGCTCCCTTATAATAGCACCTGAGAGACTTGGCCTTTGCTCTCCCCCCTCACAGCATCTATGCCTTAATTATGAGCCAAATTTGAATCTTTGGGTGAAATTTCATAGGGTGAGACCTTAAAATGTTTTTTGTGACCTGTACATTGTCCTGCTCAGCATGCAGTGTGTGATTTGCCCAAAAATGTTGTATATTTATCATGGAAGAATGCTATTCCCACACACCACAGTCCACCTACTAGGTGCCATTCTGATAACACCATGTATAATGCTATGATTGTACAATGTACACTGAATATACAATGAGTTTAATTTGAGTACCAATGTCCAGGAGCTTGAACCCAGCCCAGTGACAGCATGTAGATAGGTGCTGTAATGCTCGCCTGTGTGAATGCCATGTTAGAAATATGATAGATACTATCAAAACCTGCAATTATTTGTGGGATAAAAAGTTGCTGATATAGTGATGCCTCATGACTTACTGTTGATGTTGATGTCTCATGACTTATATTATCATGATATCTGTTTCATTTCAAGGTCTTCCTGAATATAATCTGCTCTCAGAAATGCAGCATACTTCCCATATTTGTTGTAGTACTGCTTTGTTTAGTGCCACCACTTTTGGTATGAAAATGATGTTTTGATGTCTACAGTTTTGTGTATTTTGGATAATGCTTGCCATCATTATCAACCATGGACTAAGTATTAATTAGAGCAGCTTTACATGATTTTGAACAATATTACCATTAAAAACTCAGACAAGATTGCTATCTTTAAATGAAAACTAGTAACATTTTGCTTAGAACAGGTATCTAGGTTCACAGGGGTTGCACAAGAAAGTTTGAGGGCACTTAGGGCACCAATCCGGAAGTTGAATTTTTTACCTTATTTTACCTGACGATCATAACACAGGAACCTCAGATTAGGATACAAGTGGGTTCACATACAGGTCAACACACCCTGTGAATGTGGTGTCTCCAACTCTCTTATTTTTAAGATCTCAGTGGGAGTCAGTTTGACCCCCTCCCGAGCAAAGGGTATTTATCCGGTCACCCGGCTGTGTGGATATGGGTCATGTCACCCGGGAATGTATCAGAGTCTTGCATCTCCTCTTTTTGCCTGTATGTAAAGCTATTCAAATTGCGTGCTTTTGTGCTTGTAGACCAAAGCTATTCAATTGTGCACTTTTATGCAGGTCTGTGTGCTACTGTTGATGATCCTCAGATCTGAAATTTAAGACACATGTTGTGTTCCACAATTGACATTGTTCTTTATGATCATAGACATTTACTGGGATGAATCTTTTAGCTGTTTTGTATCTTCTTGGCTGCATGCATAAAACAGCAAACACTGGAGATGGGGCCTTTTTCATGGTGCGTACTATGATAGCCACAGCATATCTTGTTCGAAATTTTGTGACTATGTGAACCAGTTGTCTTCTCGACTCGCGGAGGCTACAGCACACCTATATTGACGGTCCCGCCTGACTCTGTAGGCGGCCAGCATACAGTCGGCGCTCTGACGGATCACCAGGCGGCCGCCGGCGTGCCCCGCTCGAGCCGCGATGAAGGGCAGACGAACGCCGACAGGGGGCGGTCAGGGCCCGCCGCGCCGGAGCCCGCGCACCGCCGCCGCCGCCGCCGCCAAGCCGCGTCTCTCCGTGCAGCAGCTGCGCCAGCAGCAGCGGGCGGCGGCGGCGGCGGCCGGCCGACAGCCGCAGCCACAGCCGCAGCTGCAGCTGCACGACCCGCTGGCGCCGGTCAGTCGCCAAATGTGGCCGTAGGGCACACTCGACACACCTGGGATTTCTGAATGCACCACACCTCAACAGCAAAATAAATGAGCTCTTCGCATGCGCGTAATTTACTGTCTCTCACACTGCACTAGATGGCTGTCTCTCGTGGCACCGAAGTACATACGAGGTGTACGAGGTGAACCCTCTCTCGAGCAGGGATTTCGTACCGCTGCTCTTTGGCGTCCCATCTGCGCCACACAGGTACTATGTGACACTGGTGGGAATGTCTGGCGTGGTGGAGGGGCAGTGAGGGGTGCCGTCGCGGCGTCTGGTAGGCACGGACGACGGGTCAGCCGCAGCCGCCAGCTTGGACTGTTGTCTGTGTCAGAGCACCATCGCACGCACGCACGTCTCCGTGCGCTCTGACTGTAATGTTGTATAAACCCGTGTTTATCAGCCAAGTGGCGAGCTGTGTGTGTGGCTGGTGCTGCAGTGTGACGCGGCAGCGGCAGTCGGGCGCCTCCCCACCGGCCTGGTGTTGGAGGAACGGCTGCCAGAGCCGACCACGCCCGACCAGCCGAACCGGCCGACCTCGCCCACCCAGCTGGCTGACGTCTGGGATAGGTCGGTGGGGAGGAGGAGTGCTCTGCTTGGCACCAGCAGCAGCCGGCAAACGAGGAGAACACTGGCGCGTGCCATTATACGGCACCTCCGTGGGGAAGTGGGAGCGGGATAATCACAGTGTTGACTTCAAGCATATCAGTATAAACTGGTGGGCCATATTTTCGTGTTGTCACCCTACCGTTATCATTAAGTGCGATATATTGTCTGCTGCAGTCCTGCTGGCATTTCTGCAAAGCTGCACATGCCGCCGTATGCCGGACGGCGCTGACCGTTACCGTACGCAGACGGGCCTGGTTTCCCCTCCATGCGTGCCGTGCCGTCTGACGTGTCGCCCTGGACAGGTGCCGCCAGCTGGGGCTGGTGGACCGGTGCGCGCGCGTGCCGGCCCGCCCGGCCACCGACGAGCAGCTGCTCACCTGCCACAGCGCCGAGCACGTGGAGATGTGGCGTCAGCGCGACCAGGTCAGGGCAGACGGTGGTGCCGCCCAGATGCGGGTGGGAAGGGACGCTCGGCTGCCAGAACTGGGAGGGCAAGAGCGCTCGACTACCCCGCACCCGCTCACCCGCGGCGGAGCTCCCGCGGTGTGCTCCCCCGCCCTCCCCACCCCTTGAGGTGGGTTCGGTCTCTTTGGTCCTCCACTGCGTGGGGAACTCCTATCCGGTTCGTGTGTTCCAATCGAGCGAACTCTACAGAGGCAGCGACGCAGTTTGCCTGTATTCTGTGGGAAATTTATCCCGCGTGGACCCACGTGGACGCTGCGAAGTGACCCTCCTGAGTCGTGACGCTTGCTCCGGGCGGGCCTGCAACTGATGGGTGGTGACTGGTGCTCCAGGCCGCGTTTTGCCGCGCCGCCCTGGCGGCCGGCTCAGCGATAGAGCTCACCGACCAGATCCTGGAGGGGAAGCTGCAGAACGGCTTCGTCATGGTCGGGTAAGAGACATGCTCGCATGTGTGAGAAAGAAAACCGGACTATCGTCTGTTTAGTTCACTGCGCTGTGGGAACTCTTGCGCCAAGAACATCGTGACATTGGTTTTAACCTCGGCAGGTTGAAAAAGGACTTGTTTTGTACAGACATTCTGAACAATGATACAAAAATTGCAAGTAGTAGTTTCGCAAATTTGTAATTTTACAACTCCTGATGTGTTCGCATTGACGCTATACACCGAGGACAATGCGAATAAAAGTAACACGAGACGTTGCCCGGTTGTCAAATGTAGTTTCGCGCCAGGCCATACTGCTGGAACTTCCCCGATCTGCAGTCCAAACCTGACGCCGATTTCAAACACTTGTCGTGTCATCACGCGTGCCTGTCGCGGCCGTTCCCTGCCTCGTCGCGCCGTATCTCCAGCGACCCGCGCCATGGCCGCCGGTGACGAACCGTGCGCCGGCGGCAGGCCGACGGAGCCGGACCCGGCAGCGGACGGCGGCGGCGGCGAGGCGAGCCTGAACCCAGCGGCGCTGGCCGCCCGGCGCGCCGCCGACAGCGGGCGCCGCGTGCTGCTGCTCGACTGGGACGCGCACCACCGACCGGACGCGCAGCGGGCCTTCTACGAGGACGACAGGTGGGTGGCGCGCGCCGCGGCCGGCTGGCGCTGTCCGGCCGGCTGACGGCGGAGCGCGGGAGCCGCCGGGTGCGCCTGTGGAAGAGGCACCCAGTTACGCATGTTGCGTGGGGTCGGACGAAGTGGCGTGCTTTTAACAGGTCATCCACGACAGGTGGAGACACTAGCCATTGCGGCGGTACTGTCCCTTGTGCTCTGTTGTGCCAAACACAGTGCGGTTTGCCTTATTTTGGTAAATTACCTCGTAAAATTCTAGATGTAAAAAAACTGACGTCAATCAGGCTTGCTGTGTGGTTATGTCTGTAGATTGATCGTAAATTACGCAAGTATTAAAGTAACAGGTGACAACCTGCCTCCAGTACATTGGCATGGCTATGTGGTGGGGTCCTCTTTGTGTAATCAGTGATCACACTAAGATGTGATCGAGGCGATCGGTCACATTCGCATGAGCCGAGTGGCTGGCGCTGTCCGGCCGGCTGACGGCGGAGCGCGGGAGCTGCCTGTGGAAGAGGCACCCGACCCCGTTACGCATGTTGCTCGGGATCGGACGGAGTGGCGTGGTGGCTGGCGACGCCAGGCGTCGCCAGCCTGCGACAGGCCCTGCCACAGGTTGATAGGCGCGGACGATTTCGGCCACATTGGCATGAGCTGAGTGGTGTACGGTGTCCTGAGGCGATGCCTGACGGTCGGACTACCAGCACGCTGGCGTCCACTGAGTGCGATCCTCCTGGCTGGTCGGCAGAGTGCTCGTCTTCTCCACCCACCGTCTGGAGGGGGCTGGCTCGCCGCGGCAGCCGGCTGACGGCGACTTCGACGCCGCCGGCGCCGGCCAGGGCGCTGGCTTCACCTGGAACGTGCCGCTGGACGGGGCGGCGGGCGACGCTGAGCTGCTGGCCGTCTGGCACCGGCTGCTGCTGCCAGCCGCCTACGAGGTGCGACCACCAGCCGCCATCACTGGCACGCCCACAGACGCTGCGAGTTACTGCAGGATTCTTTTGGAAGTATCCGTGTTTGTTTGTGCTGTTTGTTGCGAAGGTGTGAGGGCACGCAGCAAGTCGTTGCTTGGCAGTGCGTGTGAAGGTTACATGTGGATGAGATACGCTTTGCAGGCATGGGACTGGCCGTATTTAAACGGCGTGAATGGTAGTTGGGCCACATCCAGCGGCTCATTCATTTTTTTCCTGTTCACAAATGTGTTCGAATGCCTTGCCTAACGTGTGCGAATGCCTAACCTGTCAAAGACCACCGCCTGGTCCGGAGGCTAATCCATAGATGGTACACGATTATCACCGGCCTGGGGAGGGGGGGGGGGGGGGCGTAAAGCGTTGCCTAGACATTCTGAGTCACGCGGCGGGACCCTCTCCGCCGTTCAGTGCGGTGTGACGCTGTGTCCGTCTGTTGCAGTTCGCGCCTGACCTGGTGGTCGTGTCCGCCGGCTTCGGAGCCGCTCTGGGCAACCCCAAGGTAGGTCAGCCACGTCAGGCTGTCTCAGATCCACCTGGTGGGTGGGTTAGTCAGCCATGTTTGGCTGTTTGAGGCTCACTGGGTAGGTGGGGAGGGGTGGGGCGTGGGCGCTTTCCCTGCCGAGAAGCTGGCCACGATGAACCGGCAGTACTTCGACGGTGCCCCCGGTTGTGTCTGCTTGCCATGCCATTTTGTATGAACTGCGCCATGAGGTAGCGGTCAAAGTCATAATTATCATAATCATTGATCATCAGTGATCAAAAACATCAGTCATTATCTCATTAAAGATAATTTTGTAATGCCAGAATATAATTTTTTCATTCTTCTGTAGGGTAAGGCGGTCTTGCTTCTGTAGTCAGACGTGTTGGGCCCGTGTTCTCTGCAGTGCGGAACGACGCGTTGGCCAGCGTCCGATGTGCTGCAAGCACGCCATGCCTTCCACCCCAGCACGCCCACGACACCGCACTGCATGGTACTGTGCCTGCCACCCCGGCATGTCCGCCGTGTTGCAGGTCGGTATGCGCGTGACGCCGGCCTGTTTCGGTCACCTGACCCACGCCCTGCTAGCACTGGCCGCCGGCCGGCTGCTGGCCGTGCTGGCCGGCCAGCTCCGTCTGCCGGCGCTGGCCCCGGCGGCGGCGCACACGCTGGGGGCGCTGCTGGGCGACCGGCCGCCGCCGCTGGCCGCCGGCCTGGGCCCGCCCGCGCCCAGGTCAGCAGAGTGGAGACTTAGGACTTGTGAGGCGGTTGGGGGATCGTTTGGGCATGGAATCTGCGTTGCTCTTGCGTTGGAAACATGTAAGAATTAAATCATGCTGTTTGTGTTGGCAACGGAACTAAATGACTAGATAAGTAAAATAAAACACGACTTTTTATGTTTGTCAGGTCATGTCATGCCTGTAGTCAGACATTTTGTCTGCACTACCAAGGTATGTCCCGGCACCCTTGGCTGTCAATTCATTTAAACTGTTGTGCAGACGTGATCTGCATGTGAAGCGCCTGAATATTGAAAACGTCCCTGATAATGCAAGTTGAGTATTTGGATGTGCTGTACGTGTACAGGCTGCGGTGTGTGTCCACCTGTCGTGAGCTGGGACCGTGAGCGCGGCTCCTCGTTTCGTCGCGTCGTTTCCGGTGTCGCTGGCCGGCCGGCGCTGGCTGGCGCCAAGGTGACCGCCCCTCCCCCTCATCGGCAGCCTGGAGACCACCATCCTGGACGTGATGTGCGCGCACCACAGCGTCTTCCGCTGCTTCTCGCACCTGGAGACGTTCTCGGCGGCGGACGCGGCGGCGGCGGCGGAGATGCCGGACTGCCACTGGCCGTCTGCCGGCCGTTTGCCGGACGCGGCCCTGCCGGCCGGACTGGGGACCGGATCGGAGGCCGAACCGGAGGCTGGCGCACAGGACCACGGCGAGCTGCTCAACAGGCTGCTGTTGGGTGAGTGGTGCGGCGGCAGGCGTCCGTGGCAGCACTGCATGTTGTCCTGCCTCGCCCCTGGGCCTGTCCGGAGAATATGGCCACTGTCCTGTTTGCATAACTGTACTGCATAGGGCGTGATGGTCGGGCGTGGGCCACAAAGTTTTGGTTTTCGGGATACTGCTTGCAAGAGAGTATGACCCGTAGTATGGGGTGCAGAAGAGCTCGGGAAGATTTTGCAGTGTTTGTTTTGTAGCTGGCCTTCGACCCCACCTAGTGTTTGGCTGTCCTAGCGAGAGTTCTGCCGACGAGGAGCTTGCTTCGCCGAATATTGGCTTCAGCAGCAGTTCTGTGTTTAGTCAGCGAGTCGTTGTGTGCGAATGTGGCTTGGTCACTCGGCCCGGCTGCCTGACGCGGCGCGTGAGTGTGGATAATCCTGCCGAGCGCCCTCTGTCGTCTGTCGTCTGTCCTCTGCCGTCTGTCATCTGCCGCCTGTCGTCTGCCGGTATGACGGTGTACACTCCGCTGCAGCGCCGCCGACGCCGACGCCCGCCCACCGGGTGTACCTGGCCACCGACCGGCAGATGCTGCGACACCGCAACACCTCCGACCCGTGAGTGGCGGCCGTCAGTGGCGCGGCCGGGCCGCTGCCGGCAGCGATGGCGACGGCCCGGCCGACGGCAGTCGGGACACCGGGTCTGGTCGGTCGGGGAGACTTGGCCTGGCTGACGGCGGCGGTCTGACGGGTATAGGGAAGCAAGTAGAAGTGAACTGAGATAACCTCAGCTGCTAGCATGCCACAAAGTCTCAACGGATAACAAAGCTACGGCAGGGAAATATTTCCCCATGTATGTGTCGTGAAAGCTGGACGCACAACGTGCTGTGCAGCAGCTGCGGGCTGGAATATACCAACAATCAGCTGAGCCTGAGCGGTGCACTGCGTCGCGTGGTGCGTGTTGCCGTGCGTCCGCGCCGCCTCTCCACCGCGCGGCTCTGAACTCCCTCCCACTCCTCAGGCAGCACCCGGAGCGTCCCGAGCGGCTGACGGCCGTGATGAGCCGGCTGGCTGACTGGGGACTGGACGGCCGCTGCCACCGGCCGGCCGAGCCGCGGCGCGTCTCCGAGGACCAGCTGCTGGCCGTGCACGAGCCGGCCCACCTGGCGGCCATGGCCGACACGGCCGGCCAGCCGGCCGACGAGCTGGACCGCCAGGCGGAGCGGTACGACTCGGTCTACCTGGCGCCCGACAGCTACGACTGCGCCCTGCTGGCCGCCGGCTGCGTGGTGGAGGTGCGGACCGAGCTCCGGACGGGGTTGGGCCGGGCTCGGGTCGGGTCGGGCTCGGGTCGGGTCGGGTCGGGTCGGGTCGGATCGGATCAGGCCGGACTGGGTCGGGTCGGATCGGGTCGGACTGGGTCGGGTCGGATCGGGTCAGGTCGAGTCGAGTCGAGTCGAGTCGAGTCGAGTCGAGTCGAGTCGGGTCGAGTCGAGTCGAGTCGAGTCGAGTCGGATCGGATCGGATCGGATCGGAGCGGCGGTGCGGCCGACGTCTAGCCACGTACGGGGATGGGATGTTGCGTTACGACCTTTGCCTCTAAGCTTTGTTGCCGACGCCTTCCCAGTGTATCTGGTCTTAGTCATGTTGTACCTTGGAGGGTCTACATATTGAAGGTGCCCATGCCCATTACTCAGATAGCTATGGCATGCTTTCGTTATTGGCTCATAATGCCTGCTGGATAGTGTCGTCATCCGTGTGGAATACGCCGGCGACGGTCGGTGGGGCGTAACCACGCTGTCCCCGCTGCCGCCGCCGCTGAGCTGCTCTCCGGCTGCTTCGGCAGGCGGTGGACAGCGTGCTCTCCGGCGAGGGTGGCGCTGCCGCGTGCGTGGTGCGCCCCCCCCCCCCCCCCCCCCCCTCCCCCGGCCACCACGCCGGGCGGCCCCCGCCGCCGCTGACCCGCGTCCCGGCCTCTCCGACAGGCGGTGGATAGCGTGCTCTCCGGCGAGGGTGGCGCCGCCGCGTGCGTGGTTCGGCCACCCGGCCACCACGCCGAGCCGCACACCCCGCACGGCTTCTGCCTGTTCAACAACGTGGCGGTGGCGGCGCGCCACGCCTGCCGCGCGCATGGCCTCAGTCGCGTGCTCGTCGTCGACTGGGACGTCCACCACGGCAACGGTGAGGACCGCGCGGCGCACCCGTCAGTCGGCGACGGGAGGGAGATCGGAGCGGAGAGCGGGGCTGTGGTGGTAATGCTGGGATCGGAGGTTTGGTGCGCTAGGCGCCGAGCTCATTTGTCGGTGTACATGTCATCAGGGACTCCCATAGATATGGCTTTTGGTATGTACCCCGCCTGCAAATCGCGTGTCAATGCCACAAGGCCTGGAGCAAAATTAAGGGGAAAATAACTACACTCATAAATCTCAGATGACAAGTTTTTCTTTGAAACCAGCGGAGTACGGCACGCATGCGGTAGATGCACCTGGATCATGACGATCACAATTGATAGGGATGACGTTTGGGCACGGCATTTGGTGTTCTGACCGTGTCAGCTGAATGGATGTGCGGCGGACACTTAGCATAGGATTTTGTATGGCACGGCCCTCAATCGTTCAGCCGCAGTTTGTGGGACTTCGACCATATGCAATTGGATTGAGTGCTTTGTGTTTTGTGATGCGTTTCACTGGTTGGATCGAGTTTCACCGTTGTCTTCTCACCATCATTGCATGGCAATTACGCCGTCGTGGCTCGCCCGGTCGCCGCAGGCATTCAGCACATGTTCTACGAGGACCGCGACGTGCTGTACCTCTCGCTGCACCGGCACGACCACGGCTTCTTCTTCCCGATGTCGGACGACGGCGACCACGACCGCGTGGGCGAGGGGGCCGGGCGCGGCTTCAACGTGAACGTGCCCTGGAACCGCGCGCGCATGGCTGGTGCCGAGTACCTGGCCGCGTTCCTGGCCGTCGTGCTGCCGGTGGCGTACCAGTTCGCGCCGGAGCTGGTGTTCGTGTCTGCCGGGTTCGACGCGGCGCGAGGCGACCCGCTGGGCGGTTACGGCGTGGCGCCAGAGGTGTACGGCCACCTGACGCACCACCTGGCGGCGCTGGCCGGCGGCCGGTTGGTGGTGGCGCTCGAGGGCGGCTACAACCTGACCAGCGTCGCCTACAGCATGGCCATGTGCGTGCGCGCGCTGCTGGGCGACGCGCCTGTGCAGCTGGCGCCGCAGGCCGCGCCCAACGCGAGCGCCGCGCAGACGCTGCGTGACGTGGCGGCCAGCCAGCGGCCGTTCTGGCCGGCCGTGGCGCCGCCGCGTCGCCTGCCGGCCGAGCCGCTCGACGCCGTGCGTAGGCTGGTGCGGGAGCGGCACGCCGCCGCGGCCGGCCCGGCCGAGCCGTCGAGCCAGACGGAGCTGGACGGACAGACGGAAGGGCTCAGCCACACAGAGCGAGCAGGTCAGGCAGAGCGAGACGGTCCGACGGAGAAGGCCGCCCAGTGTCCGCTGAAGACGCCGCCTCGGACCGCGTGGGTGGCGGAGGTGACCGCTGGAGGTGATGCGGCTGCCGCGCCCGACGTCTCTGCGCTGCTCGACGGCCTGACGCTGGCCGAGAGCGGGCCGCCGCCTGCTGCCACACCGCAGTCGCCGCCGGCCGCGGTGTGGGCCGCGCCGGCCGGCGACGGTGGCGGGGTGGCGCGGTTTGCGGCGGCGGCGGGCGGCGCGGGCGGCGCGGGCACCGGAGCGGCGGGCAGCGAGGAGCCGGGAGACACCGGCGGCGAGGAGCCAGAAGCCGCTGGCGGCGAGGAGCTGGGAGCCACCGGCGGCTCGGCACCCGGTGAAGAGCTGGTGGCGGGAGCGACAGCGGCAGCGGCTGCGGCAGCGGCGGAGAGCGCGACCATCGCCGAGTGCCTTCTGCTGCAGCAGGAGCTGGACGTAAGCTGAATGCGGCATGTCGCTGGCGTCCCGCTTTCATGGAAAGGTTTTCTGGACATGGTGTCACGCATTTTGTTTTGCATGCTGTAGCCGTAATGAATCCGTCAGCGAATGCAAATTGCTAGATCCCTTTACCTAGGTGGCTTTTGAACAATAAGCAGCTTTGCGTGCCGAATGAGAAGCGCGTGTTGCGACACAGCAAGCGTAGTCCCTTGAACAAACAGGCAAATTTCCAACTGCGATCCCAGGCCTGCGTCCTAACCGGAACCATGGCCGACGAAGTACGTAGTTTGCGTAATATGAGCCCTGACGGCACAGCTCCAAACTGCATGTTTTTGATGTGGAGAGGCGCGGTGCCTCATGTCCGTGGAGTGAATGGGTGACGAGTGCACGAATGACTGAGCAGGAGGAACGAAAACTGGTGTCGTTCTGCTTGGATTTGTCTGACGGTTTGTTCGCAAATGCCTTTGGGATTGCAGCAGGTTGGGTGTGAGTACGTGACCGGGTCTGGTCGGTGTACCGCCGTGGTGGCTGACCAGTGACCGGGTCTGGTCGGTGTACCGCCGTGGTGGCTGACCTGTGACCAGGTCTGGTCGGTGTACCGCCTTGGTAGCTGACCAGTGACCGGGTCCGGTTGGTGTACCGCCGTGGTGGCTGACCAGTGACCGGGTCTGGTCAGTGTACCGCCGTGGTGGCTGACCTGTGACCGGGTCTGGTTGGTGTACCGCCGTGGTGGCTGACCAGTGACCGGGTCTGGTCGGTGTACCGCCGTGGTGGCTGACCTGTGACCGGGTCTGGCCGGTGTACCGCCGTGGTCACTGGCCGGTGCCACCCGTTGGTGGACCGCACGCACGCACCCCTAGGTGTGCGTCTGCTTCATGACGTACTCAACGGCACGATACGCTGCGCGAATTCCGTATATGGAAGTGCAGTGTTTTATACGTACATGATCTTAATCGGCAGCATTTTGGCCTCATTACTGCTAATCCTTAGGTTTATTATATTAGCCGTCTGAAAGATCATGTTGACTGCACCCTGTCGAAGGGCTTCAATGTTTATGCATGGTAGCATAGCCACACAGCAGGAGTGTTTGGAAGCAAGGAGAATGTTATAGCAGTGCTGGTCATTCCGGCATTGCATAGCGTGTCAGATCGCGTCATTGGTGTACGGGTTCACTGCGTGTGGCGTGCTAGTGAGGGTCATTAAGGCGAGTGGTTTAAAACTGGATGCATTAATTGCACATGCAGGAGGTGTTAGTCGCATTGCAAACATGTCCCGGTTTTGCTGGACGTGAGGGCGAACGTGGAGTGGTCAAAGTCGTCTTGGTGTTCAGAATATCCCCGGCTTATGTTAGTGTACTCTCCCAACGTGACGGCAAGACGTGGAGGCTGTCCCGCTGGTGATAAATCACACTGACTGCCATTCGCATTCACATTGATTGAGTTTAGCTGTGAAGATATCACGGTCTCTAACTTGGTCCCAAAGAAACATCTGTTCATCCGATAGCGGTTAATAAGGACACGTCCGACTTACGCTACTGGTCATGCAAATTTGCTGCATGTCTAGGCGATAATTGGGGCTAAGAATCAGCGAAATCTCCATGCCACAAGATCCCTTCAAAATAGCGCCGGACCATTTTATTGTTCCAAATTTTACGAGCCAGGAATTTGGGAGCAGGGAGCCGTGTGTCGAGAAGTTTTCACTAAATAAACACAGGTGTGTAATGCAGGCCACGGAATTGGAGATGGCCTATTTGGGTAAAGTGCTTTGAATAGCCCTATGATTAGCTGAACTTGGCATGTGCAATAATATGAGCACGCAGGGTCGTTACTTTATCCATCACGCGTTCTCACCGCTGAAGTTACTAAGCTGTTTGTTTTGCTAGCATGTGGGTGTCATTGAGATTATCGTCACTGCAAGCGCGGCAAAAACGGAGATAAGGTCAGTTGTTTATTTCGTTGGCGTATTACTCCCGTAATAGCCGCGACCAGTTAAAAGCGTAGAAGCAGACAGGCTTAACATCGCAAAGTGGAGGTTTGGCTCTTCTCCGATGTCTTTCCACTTCGCATTCAAAACTAGCTGCTTTCTTAGTTCGTGGACTTTGAAACTGGTCGCTTATTTTTGACGAAAGGTGTATATTCGGGCCCATGTGCAAGAGCACATGTTACGACCTCGGGGCTCATTGACCCATTGTAATTTCATCAACGTTTTAAGGTAGCATATGGCTATGAAAATTAAGCTGAATCATATACTGCCCTGCAGTTACATGTATATGCCTTTTCATGTCCCGAACTTTTTTCTTGTGTGTGCTTTTTCATGTTCCGAAAGATTCACGGAGAGTTGACAGAGCCCTGAAAATAGCCGCGTGCTTTTAGAGTTCTCTGTATGGGTACGGTCGTAGATTGTGTCCACACGTCATGTCAACCAGCCAACCGTGGTTAGCCGCATCGAGCCGGACAGCATTGGACTGGTGCAGGCGGTGCTCCGGTTGATCTGGCAGTGCCGCTGCAGAACATGTACTGCCATTACAGGCCGGCGCAGGTGTCATTCCCTTAGCCGGTGATTCACAGCTCGGTGGGATAACACTTGATGGACGCGAACTCCGAAGCATGCATTTATTTTGATGTTCTGATCACATCAGCACTTAAGTACCAAAACGCTCGGTAAAAGGACTGCGGAGATAACGACATTACCATGCGATAGAAGAAAGCGGTGAGCTTGTCCGCAGTTCAGGTCGCTGCCCCGTTACATCTTGACTTCCGTGCTTCTCTATCGCCAGCCTGCCAGTTGAGAAAGCAACGCATTTGGCCGGCAGTCTTTGCCGGCTCGCTGTGCGGCATCAGGCCACATCTTGCTCGCAGTCGGTCTGTACGGACTCATCCGACTCGCTGCGCTCGTCCTGCTCCGGGATCGAGTCGGTCGCCGACTCAGACTCGGACTCGGACTCGGCCTCGGAGCTCGTCTCGCCGTCGTCGTTCGGCGGTGACTCGTCTGTTCCTCTCGGGGTGTCCGGCACCTCCACACTGGCCTCGGCCGCCTCGGCCCCGTGGCTCGTGACCGGCTCCTCCGCCGCCGCCTCCGCAGCCACCTCCGCCGCCGCCGCCGCGGGGGCGGTGGCGGCAGCGACGGCGCCGAACCGTCCGGCCAGCAGCACGCTGCGCAGCTGCCTGTCGAGCCGACGCAGGCGACGCCGCTGGCTCGCCAGCCTCCGGTCGCTGGCGGCGCGGCAGCGGGCGCACCGGCCGCTGCCGCCGCTGACGGCCAGCAGCAGCAGCGGGCTGGCGGCGCCGCCGAGCCGCTCGCCCGGCCCGCGCCGCCGCTCGCAGCACCAGTTGACGCGCGCCACCGGCAGGCCACTCAGCTGCGCCTGCAGCGCGAACGGCTGCGGCGGCCGGCGCAGCGAGACGAAGGTGACGCGCTGGCGCGGCCGCGCGGCGCCGCTGAAGACGAGCCGTAGCGCGTCGCCGGCTGCCTGGCGCACTTCAAGCTGCTGAGGTTTCCGCGGCCCGCTCAGCGGCAGGAAGGCCAGCGTCACCGTACACGGCTCGCCGTCGCCGAGGGACGGGCCCGAGAGGCTCATCGCCGCCCGGGACCGCGGCCGGCTCGCTGGCAGCAGGTGTCCGGGTACGCCGCGCCGTCACCCCATGCTGCGCTGCGGGCTGCTGCGCGCTGGGAGCCGGCCGCGGTGTGAGCGGGGCGCCGGCCCGTCCGCCGCGCCGCCTCGCGTCCCCTGACGGCGGTCCGGCGCGGGCCCCAGCGGCGACACCGGACTGGGCGGCCGGTGCTGACCGGCCGGACGGCGTGGACACGCGCGGTCGGTGACGCCGGCCGCGGAGGACTGCCGCCCACCGGCCGTCGGTGACCGCTCGGTCGATACAAGGTGCGGCGGCCGCTGGTGGACCGCGTGCACGGCTGATCCGCCGCTGGTGATCGACCGCCGCCGGCTGACCCGGTGCCCTCCTCACGGCGGGCGGGCGGTCCGAGTCCACACGTGCCGCACATTCAGAGGCCGTGTGTGTCTGCTGGGGCTCGCTCCCCTCTTACGCCGGCGATCGAGCCGCGAGTAGACGAGCACCAGGAACGCGGCGCTGTGCAGCTCTTTTGTGGCGCTGCGACGTGGCGGTGAGACCTGCTGGGATTGGGGCGTCGTTGAATATGCGTGGAGTCTAGGCTGATCGCGCTGTGCCTGGTTTCGGTCAGTCTGGCTGGATGGCTTCTGCGCCGGCCGGCCCTCTCAATGAGAAAACGATTTTCCGTCAAAGCAGCATTTGAAGGGTCGATTATTCGTGTGAGCGCCTACAGCCTGGGAAGGGCGGGCTCTTTATGAGTCCTATGTGTACGCGTATGACATTTAATATTAAACTACGAACCACTACACAATGTTGCATCGCCCATACGGGTAGAAAACAATTCCATTCATAGTACATACCAGGCGGTGACGTCATTGGTTGAGTGCGTGATGTTTTCAGGAATGCCCGTAATGTCGTCATATTCGGGAAAGTTCTCATGTTTTAACAATTCGTACCGAGGAAACGGATGTTGATTTCGGTATGTCTTGTCTTCCCACGTCCTTCCCCGCGGTGCCTCCTCTGCCTGCCCGGGCGAGAGGCAGGCGACTTGAGTGCGTCGCAATGTCCCAACGATACCACTCTTCGCATGCTCAGCAGTGTGGTTGCGCGGTGCCGTGAGCCTGCCGTCGTCGAGCGTGCTCGGCACCGGCACGGTCACGCGGCCGAGGGGCGCGGCGCGTCGTCGCCAGGCTCGGACGTCACGTCACGATGCCGCGGGGCGGTGCGGTGCTGACGTGCCGGCCCGCCGCAGGGCATGTACGCCGTGATCCCGCTGCCGGGCTGCCCGCACCTGAGCACCGTGTGCGAGCTGCCGGCGGCCGGCATCGACGCCAGCGAGCCGTGCTGCGAGTGCGGCGACCTCCAGGAAAACTGGGTCTGCCTCACCTGCTACCAGGTGAGGGCGGCGCGGTCTGAGCCGCGGCCGGGTGGGCACGAGCGGGCTCGCCTGCCAGAAGGTGAGGGAGCCGCTGTCGCAGCCACCACCAGGCTGAAACGCAGTCCACCTGGGCCGCGAGTAAGAGAAATAGGGGTCTGTGCCTTCTGATATCATGTGTGTACTGGGTCTGCTGTTACGGGATGAGAACGACAACTTGATTTTTGGTACAAAATGTGATAGGCACATTCCTCATCGCTCTGGCCATGTCCTTGTGGCGTTATGCCGTCCCTGTGGCGTCCCTTTGGCTGTATCGTCCCTGTATCATATTCGTAATTATAGCATTGAAGTCCCTGCAGCTGTGGTTGCTTTCATGAATAACGATCCGTTACGGGAGCGGTGGTCAAACTTAGCAATTTTCACTTTCTATTACTCTTTGCCAAACTGCATGTGCTATCATGTGCCTGTCATGTGCTTCTTCAGTGCTTTTTGTTATATCGTGTACCCCGATGAGCACGTGCACCTTTGGTCCCACGGCAGTGTTAGTGTTCCTCCGCTCTTGTGCCTTCCGCCCCTCCCCTCCTTGTATCCTTGTGGTCATGCAGTTATCTTCTCCCCTGGTGTCACGTGCCGGCTTGTCCCTGTGGCCGCACTGTTGCTACATAGTCTGCTGTTCCCCTAAGGTTGTGTGCTCCCGCTGTGCCCCGGTATTTCGGTTGCGTGCTCTGTGCTTTTCGGCGGCTCGGCCCCCGCTGCCGCCGCGGCTCGGCCGTGCACGTGTCCCCGCTGTGCCGCACTGAGTCGGCCTCTCCCTGGTGGCGGCCGTGTCATGTCGACGCTGAGGCGGCCCGCTCCGCTCCCAGGTGTGCTGCGGCCGGTACCGCGCCTGCCACATGCTCGACCACGGCGCCGTCAGCGGCCACTGCATGGTGCTCAGCCTGGCCGACCTCTCCGTCTGGTGCTACGTCTGCGAGGCGTACGTGCACCACGAGCGCCTGATCGCCGCCAAACGCTCGGCCCACCGCAGCAAGTTCGGCGTGGACATGCCGGTCTGACGGACCGGCCGGCGGGGGGAGCGGAGTGGGCCGCCGGTCTGACGGACCGGCCGGCGCGGGACGGGCTGCCGACCGCTGACAGACGGGGCGGCGCGGGACGGGCTGCCGGCGGCTGACAGACACGGGACGGGCTGCCGGCGGCTGACAGACGCGGGACGGGCTGCCGGCGGCTGACAGACGCGGGACGGGCGAGATGCGCAGTCTGGTGGCGCGGCCTCGGTCACGTGGGCTGTACCAAGTGCGCTTAATCCTGGCGGCTGTGGGTGGTGGTGGTGTGAGCAGCGTGCGAACGAGTGCGAGAGGTCTTCAGATTGAGGGCATGAACGGAGATGTGGTATCTTGGAATCTCCAACAACAATTTTCAGCCACGTATCTAGCCTGCGTCGAAACATCTGTGTCACTATCCAGTATTGTGGAGGCCCGGTGCAGTGGTGAAATGAAGCCTCACCCGAGGACTACCAACATTTCTTCGCACGCTGTCCTCATCCTGGGGTATACCCTGTGTGGTCGCCATCTTTTATCATGTGAAATATTGCTTCCCTAATTCGTTCCATCGGCTGAGATGCCACCTCGGCGGCCATAAAGATGGCGTTCATTGACATGGGCATGACAAAGTCCACGTCCAGCGTCCGTGCGATGTAGTCAGTCATTCCCTTACCATAGATGTGATGACCGGCCACTGGATCGCCTCACTTCGAGAAGCGTTTAAAAACGCGGCATCGCAGCGTTTCAGTTTTGGAATACCACTAGTGCAGTTTGGCGAGGCAACGAAATTCTGCAATCTGTTCCGTGTCTTTTGTTTATAGTTTGGACAGACCGACGTTTTGGTAAAACGTCGCAGCTTTGAGATTTCCTTTGATTTGCTGCCCTGTACAACTGTCGTGGCAACAGAGCTTCTATGGGAGTCGTGGCTATCAGACTATTGAGCTTCCCTCCCGGATACTGCCGCATCAGTAAACCAGTTCGTCGGCATTCCATGGCCTGGCGATGGACAGTGTCATGTAAACTCGAGGTCGCTTCCAGATCCGCGACGGAATCGCCCCGGTCCTTCCAACTCGGTCGCTCGGTGCCTTTCGAAGGCCATGTAGATTGTGCGGTTGTGAAGTTTCATTAAGGACACGTAGCCGATAGACTAAGTAGCATGAGGTAAATCTTTGCCAAACCCGGAGCCGAGGGGAAGATCTGACTCTGATCCTTTGTGCTTGATCACGTACGAAGGACGAGTTGTGGTGTGGTCTATTACAATTATTTATTTACTTTTTGGTATGATCGGTTAGGATAATTCAATGAAACCGACATTGAATTCGTCACTCGTCTTGTTCATGAAGGAAAGCATTCCTTCGGGCCGTTCTCTGCATATATTCCAAGTGCGTTTTGGCGTAGATAAAAATGTTTGCCATCTCTGGTGTAACCACTAACGGTCGGATATATCAAAATGACATTTTTACCGGGGTTATCAGCTATTTTTTTATTTTTTGGTTTGACTGAGGCTATCATCTATTGTACTTAATAACTCCATGTCACATTGGACTAATAACAAATGTATAATGCGCACATGCACTGAGTTCCTGGCGTGCGTTTTACCAACTGACGAAAACAGTTAACAACCGTTGTTTTGTAGACCCTCGTCGGCCTCGGGGCGCCGTAGATGTCGCATGTCTGACCGTAGTGCATTACCGAATGCTTGCTGGCACATTGGCGGTCCATTGGAAGACCACGGCAAAAGGTCTTACTTGAAATTGACCATACTTATACGCGACAGAAGTAGACACCACTATGATAGAAGTAGACACCACTATCAATGCGCTCTGATGGACGAAGTCAGATGAAGCCACCTGTAACAGCGTTTGCCGACAGGACCAGAAAGTAGTGCAAAGGTCACGGGCCACCAGTAACATTGCAGTGACCAAGGTAGTGGCTTATCGTCGTTTTCGCCTCGTGCCTAGGCAGTTGGCTGTAACCTCCTCGTGCCTAATTAGTTGGCTGTAAAGTGTACTCGTGACATGGGAGGGACGCATTTCAGTGCTTTAATCACACCGCAATCTACCGCCTGCAGCCGCCCTTCTGGCGTGGGGGGCCATCTGGTGAGCCCTGTCCATCGAGACCCCTGTCTGACCTGTCTGTCCACCGGCCCGGTGGGGTGGCCGGCCGGTCGGTGTGCGGGCGCCGGCGCCGCCCCGGCCGCCGGTTGTCGGCGCCGCCCGGTGCCCTGCGCACGACAGACACACCCCTCGACTGGCGGTGTTTGGCGCTGGCAGCCGTCCAGCGACCCGGGGTCCCACCTGGAGCGGTCTGGTGGTCGGCGGCTCTTGGGGGATCGCCGCGTACTAAGCTACTCTTAGAGCTGAAAACAACTCGGGAAGGAATGCATGTTATTTTAAGTTTTAGTGTATTATGAAGCTCAACATTAACATTACGTCTTATGTACTTAATCAGCAAATTTCCAACCGTCCTCCTGAGCATTTTTGCGACGTTGGAGACGAGCTCATGGCAGCCAACGGGTGGGTATATGTAAGGTGCATATTTATAACAGTGTACATATGTGCGATGTGATCATACTTACATTGGTGCTTTCCGGCACCAAACGCTTGTAACTCGGTAACTGGCGTCACCGCGAAGCCTTGTGCTGCTGACGATCGCGGGCCCGCCGACGGGCGCTGCTTGATCTCTACCTCCGCGTCGAAACCGCGATCCTGCCGTCTTTCCCTCGCGAACGTTCGGCGTGTACTTATGTCGCGTGCGGTCAGTGGGGCTCGCTTACGGAGCCATGGCGTTCCAGGGATTTGGTGCACGCTCTTCCGACAATTACGGATGTTTCTGGTTCTCGTTTGTTCTGCCTTCCAATAAAGTTCTGCTTGTCTGCCATACTCCATGCAGTTTATTTCCGTCCGGGAAACTTCGCGTGGCATACGCCAAAGCCACCGCGGCCTGCCGAGATGCCCCGAGGCGATGGGATTACTGCCACCGCGGCCTGCCGAGATGCCCCGAGGCGAAGCGATCACTGCCACCGCGGCCTGCCGAGATGCCCGAGGCGATGGGATTACTGCCACCGCGGCCTGCCGGGATGCCCCGAGGCGACGCGATCACTGCCACCGCGGCCTGCCGAGATGCCCCGAGGCGATGGGATTACTGCAACCGCGGCCTGCCGAGATGCCCCGAGGCGATGGGATTACTGCCACCGCGGCGTGCCGAGATGCTCCGAGGCGACACGATCACTGCCACCGCGGCCTGCCGAGATGCCCCGAGGCGAAGCGATCACCGCCACCGCAGCCTGCCGAGATGCCCCGAGGCGACGCGATCACTGCCACCGCGGCGTGCCGAGATGCTCCGAGGCAACGCGATCACTGCCACGCATCCGCAGGATGCCCGAGACACAGCGTGTTTGGCATCCTTTCGCCTGATAAACTTCTCCCATCAAGGGGGTTTCGCAGAACTGCATGAAGAAGAAAGGTAAAGCTGGAAACGGCACTCGAGTGTTACGGTACTACATAATGTGTAAAAGCGCTGCCCAGCTTGCTCTCTGTGATCTCGCATACCCCAAAAGCCGCGATCGCATTACAGACTTTATTCGTGCCTGCGATGCAGGCATATTCGCGCATGGGATGCCCAACGCGTCGCAACCTTTCCTACAACATGCAAAAAAACCTGCAAAACTAAAAATATGACCGGGTCCAATGCCTGGCATCCAAACGAAAGACAGCAGCACGTGATGGCTGCGATGATCCGTAAACGGCGAAGCGCGGTCGTCTGCGTCTGAACACATACAGTTGCTGTACAGTTCCCATCCCACGCCGTCGCCTTCTTCAACCACAAGACGGCGCGGAGGGACCCCAGAATATACAACACGTCCAATCAGCAAAAATACTCGAGCGACGCTGACAGCCCGGCAGACCGAGCGGTAATCACCCCGCCCGCACCAGCGCCGCTGTCGTAGCATCGGCAGCGTTTCTTCGCAAACTGAGCCTCCAGACGCCGCTCGCGTCAGGCCTACGCTGGCCAGACTAGACTGGTAAGCGACAGCCACTCCAGCGCAAACGCAACGATCAGCCAAGCGCACTACGAACAGCATGATAAGCCGAAGTTCGCTCCACCGCTCTCGCGCTCACGATCGCCGATAGCGCACACTGCGCGGATCTCACAGCAGAGGAGTGCACTCTCCGGGCCGGTGGGCTGTCGTCCGCGCCGCGGGCGGTCTCGGCACGCGCGGCCCTCAGGTGCCGCCTTCAGAGAGGCCCGACTGGGCCATCCGCACCACGCGGTCGGACGACACTGCGCACGGCAGGCGGGGTCAGCGCCACAGCACGCGACGACAGCAGCAACACCCCGGTAAGGACAGTACCATAGACCGACACTCCGCACGGCAGGCGGAGTCAGCGCCACAGCACGCGACGACAGCAGTAACACCCCGGTAAGGACAGCACCACAGACCGACACTGCGCACGGCAGGCGGAGTCAGCGTCACAGTACGCGACGACAGCAGCAAAACCCCGGTAAGGACAGCACCACAGACCGACACTGCGCACGGCAGGCGGAGTCAGCGTCACAGTACGCGACGACAGCAGCAAAACCCCGGTAAGGACAGCACCACAGACCGACACTGCGCGCGGCAGGCGGGGTCAGCGCCAGAGCACGCGACGACAGCAGCAACACCCCGGTAAGGACAGCACCACAGACCGACACTGCGCGCGGCAGGCGGAGTCAGTGTCAGAGCACGCGACGACGGCAGCAACACCCCGGTAAGGACAGCACCACAGACCGACACTGCGCGCGGCAGGCGGAGTCAGTGCCAGAGCACGCGACGACGGCAGCAACACCCCGGTAAGGACAGTGCCACAGACCGACACGAGCACGCCCCGGCACGGACAGTCCACGGGCCGGCGTGAGGAACGTCACGGTAAGAACGATCAACGGACCGATATAGCGATATGGAGAACACCACGGAACGACGAGTCACAGGAGAGACACTGCAGTAGAGATTGAAAACATTCGACTGACTGAAAGTCAATGGCCCGCCGCCGTATCTGTAAATTGTGCTCACGAACGCAAGATGTGAACGACTCGACAATTGTATTCTTCTTGGCCTTGATCGCTGCATGGCTAATGAAATAGCAGGGTTGAATGACGTTATTATGACGCCACAGATACCTGGGTGACCTTGACAAAATTTCCCTGAAAGAAACTGCACATCTTCGCGGGCGTGCACCTCAGAAAATAGAGGGGTTTAGGTCTTAACTAGGGCAGGGCTGTGAACCGCACCAAATTATCTTCAAAATGGCTGTATCATTTCAAAACCCGACACAATGTTGGAACACTCCCTCTAGCGGGCAACATTACCAACAGCCAAGCGCGGGCGACCAACGGGCCAACATGAGAAAAACCACGGCAGGAGCCGTTACATGAGGAACACCACAGAATGGCTCGTGATCGTGATCAGAGTATATGCAAACATATATTAGTTGAAAAGAAGGCTATCAAAATTATTAGGCGATTGGGGCTCTGACTAACACAAAGTGTGTGGCTTGCAATTTCGTGTCCCTTTTTTACATGACAGACCTGCATGGTATGGATAGGAACATCAAACTGGTGAAGAAAACTGCCAAAGAGGCTCGCAAACAACACACAGACAGGTTGAAATCACTTTCCACCGCTGCAGTAACCTGTGATCACGTCTACGCTTTGGGCTTTGACCTCGCGGTCAGCACGTCACCACTCACTGTTGATGTCGTCCAGCATGAACTGCCGCAGGTCATCGGTGGTGTTGGTGCTCATGAAGAGCACCTCCTCGGCGCTGAGCGCCTCGCCCAGCTTCTTCAGAGCCGACAGGATCTCCAGCTGGCGACCACGACGCCGTATCATCAGGCCCTCACGCCCACTGGCGCCACCCGTCCAGCTATCACCAGCGCGGCGCTGGGCGGACCATCGAAACGACACGATTTGCCCCACAGGCAGGGACCATCTAGCAAGATCTACATTCACTAAACTCATGGACAGCACGAGCTGGCTTTCACTGTTCTTGGGGCTTACACAATGTTTAGTGGTTTCTGAACATACAACAGTTTCGGGTGTGACTCTGTCTTTCTCGTTGCGTGCATGCCAGAACGATTATTTTGCGTCATACCACTTACAGAGATCGACAATAACCCAAAACTGAATAAAGATATAGCCTCCGTACAATACCTAGCTAGGCCGTATGGATCTGTTTGCTCCCTAACGTTTTACAGCATAACGCACTCGGTGGGATAAGAGCGACATCCAGCTATGGAGGGAATAGTCGTGACGCCCAGCTCCAGCCGCAATCGCTGGCTTCCCGCATTGTTTGCGCGGCGGTAGATACGACGCCAGGGCCGTCGTCCCCACTACCAAACGGCGTCCACAAATTGCAGCCTACGGCGCCAAAGGCAAGCGCGTCATAATAGTTCCCACGGCTTGAAGTGTAGCCGCGTGCATGTGACGTAGGCACTTGGGACGTCATAGGGAGCAACCCAGGTCGTACTTGGGACAATGGGGAGCATGGTTCAGGCTGCAGTCACCAGGAGATGCTGATGTGATCGCCAGTAGACCCGACACCGAGCCGTGACCGCTAGCCGGCTCGCCGTCACCCGGAGACGGCAGGCCCCGAGCGCCCGAGCTCGCCAGCCGCGCAGAGGTCCCGCAACCACCCGCTGAGAGGCCCCGCACCCGCCCGCCGAGAGGTCCCACACTCACCCCCCCCCCCCCGACAGACCACGCACTCACCCGTCGAGAGGCCCCGCACTCACCCGCCGAGAGGCCCCGCGCTCACCCCCCCCCCCCCCGAAAGGCCCCGCACTCACCCCCACCCCGTGAGGCCCCGCACTCACCCGCCGAGAGGTCCCGCACTCACCCCCCCCCCCCCGAGAGGCCTCGCACTCACCCGTCGAGAGGCCCCGCACCCACCCGCCGAGAGGCCCCGCGCTCACCCGCCGAGAGGTCTCGCATCCACCCGCCGAGAGGCCCCGCACTCCCCAGCCGAGAGGCTCCGCACTCACCCGCTGCTGAGCGAAGGCCTCGTCGGCTAGCTTGCCGAGCCGGTGGTCGCGCGTCAGCTGAGCCAGCCGATCGCGCAGCCCCTGCGGCTGGCGACGCGCGAACAGGCCGATGATCTCGGGCGTGCGGAACGCCTCCGTAATGGCCGCCTGGATGGCCTGCGGCGGACGGGCGCGGTCACAGCAGCGGGTGGGGGGGGGGGGGGGAGGCTCCTGGATACCTGTGTCGCAGATGCACGCGTGCTGAAACGAGTCCCTGCGCATGAACCGACGTGGCACACTTCTCCCGTCGGCTGCGGCGGTCGAATGGTCGTCGGTCCCGTCCCGTTGTCTTATGCCACATGAAACACGTTTCTGCTGTACATATCATCATACAGTGTACAGCATGCATGGAAAGGAAATACCACTGCTTATGGTAGCATGGAACAACAGCAAAACAGAATGTGCCACCAAAGATGAGCTAATCGGTGTACTTACCAACTGAGTGGCGCCAAATTGATTTACCAAGGAGATATTCCCTTCACTGAAGTCACTGAGCTTCTGCTGGAATTCCTTCAGCTGCTCAATAGTCTCTTGGCGAGTTTCATTGTACTCCTCTGCATCCAGTTCATCCCTGGGAAACAGCGAGCCACAGTATGAGGTGGAGTAGCTTTTTACGAGCTCTAAATCCAGAAAATGTATTTGAGATGCAACCACTTATTTGTGTGCAATGATATAACTGTTGCCTCTCTCCTTTTGCACACCAAGTCACTATCATTTACCTGTGTGAAAAATAGTTTGGCTATGATATTCACGAAATCAGACCAGAAAATACAGACAAAACTGCAGTGCTGAAAGCGATGTCATGTTGAGTGCACATATGTGTATCCAATGTGTATATGTGCATCTAAGTGCATGTGGGTATATGTCATGTGCATATTAAGCAGATTTTGCCCACTTGTGCCATGCACCCATGAGCAAGCTGACCCAGACAGAGCTGCTTCAGGCTAATAATTTTCATCTGTCCTGGATACAATCCTGTAATGACATTTTTGAGCAGCTCACTTGTCATGACTCAAGCCACATTAATGAACAGAACACTAGTGCTGGTACATTTGGTTGTCACATGAATGAATTCTGTCTTGGCTGAATGCAAATTAGGTTGCTTATTCTATGAATCCCAACACCAACAAGTGATATGAACAAGTCAGCCCGAATGGTTGGAAAGTTCCAGTCGTGCTGCAATGAACAATACCATCAGTGCAGTGGCAATACTGTTATGGTTGTGGCACAGGTCATACAATGCATGAGGTGTGGAAACAGTAGGGTAAGCTATGCAGTGCTTATAGATATGACAGCAAGAACAGCAAGGAAGAGAAAGGGAAGTATATGCAGAGTACCATAAAAACAACAATGGTGGTTGGATTATGAGCAAGATGAGGTTTTCACCATTACTACAATCTAAACTCAGGACAAAAAAGCTGGCACTCCAAAGGTACAGAATTCTTTCCACCATCTCTCATGTTAGGTGCATGCATAATTTTAGATGCACATGCACTGCCAGAGTTATTAACACCAACTTACTTTGAATCTTCCAAGTCTTGCAGCTGAGCCATAAGGCGATCAAGTTGGTCGGACAGATTTTTTTGCAATTTCACTGTCTCATTTACTCCACGAGAATCCATTTTAGCTTGTTGTAATCAACCTCCTGATTAAAAGGCACGTGTCAGTATATGCTGAATTAACCATAACCACTGGAATTGAAATTGACAACTTACTTGATATGCCCATAAGTAACACAAATTTCAGCTTCTGAGCTTCTGTCTGAGGAGATATACTTTGTCATCATAGCAAACAATACAAAGTACATCAAACAATATGGAGTGCTCATCTCTGCACCTGAATGACTATATAATGTTCCTGCAGCAAGGCCTTGCTCTTGGCCACTATAGCTGTGCCAACCATGAAGGCCTGTTCCTTGGTTACCATTCCCTGCATTGTACCTATGAAGAATTACCAGGTTGTAACACTGTGTTAAAACATTTATAACATAAGTATTCATACTCAGCTTTTGAATTTGGCACAGCAATCAGTTGTTTTATAGTACTGGTGCTACTGATATAACAACAGTGCAAATTGCCTCTTGACACACCTAAACATGAGATCATCCAACAACAAAACCTGACAAGTCAACCATTACTCAGATCAAAATCACTTTTGTATAAAGCACATTAAGCAAGGTCATACTAGTCTCTCGGAATACTTCAATGATATACATATTTGCATTTATTTAAACATCTCTTTCAAAAACAAATCCTCATAAAACTAAGTGCCACTGAAAGTCACCTAAAAAATTCCACCCTGAAATTGTGAGATAAAAACTTTCACCTGATAACAAAAAATGGTCTAAAAGTTCTCACCACTTATGCTGCAAAATATCCCTGTGGACTTCGGGGCCACAAGCAAGCACATACCAGACAAGATAAGAAACCATTACTACAGATCTGAAGTCAAGGCTTTTCAATTTTTGTCCGAGGAACTCTTTATGTTATCTTATATAGCTGCCATATGTACAGCAAAAGTCTTGGGTTGATAAAAATTGGATCATCAGGGAAACCTAATTTTTTCACCCTTCAGTTATCACATTCAACCTAGCCCCAGGCAGAGGAGCTAGCCACCACACTTGAAGCAGGATCAGACCTGCCCCAAACATCCTGTTGATCAGCTCGCTATCTTGTGCAGACTGGCACAATGTGCAATCACACCAAAACTGACTTTATAACAATTCAGTCTTAAGAGAATCAGAAACAGTAGATCCAGCCTGTACCTAAGGGTTAATAACATGATTGAAACGCGCCCAAGTGAGCTTGAAATTTCCGATACCTACTTATCTAACTCCCCAACCACGCAAGACATGTGTTAATGGTTGGGATAAGCTAAGAACACGCTTAACCATTTCATGTTGTTCTTCAACGAAATGATAGACAGTACATAACCAATTATCTTGCCATTCAACGACACATTGGCCATTACTCCTGCCACGCCATACAATTGTGGGCAGTATCAATATTGTACGGGCTCATCACGCATCCGATCATATACCTTACAACACGCCCGCCGATCTCATGAGTCAACTTTACAGATTTCCGCAGTTTTCCCGATGACGTTTTGCGGGAACAGCACTTCCACGGAACAGACGCGCCGATAATGTCATCTCATTTGTTTGGGTAATCGGTGCACACTATTTTACTGCATAGCATGCGTGGCCGCGACCAAAACGCGCCTGACCGCGTCCAATCTGACTCAATCACCTGTTTGCTCGCAGTGTGTGATCTACTTCATAAGAAATGTCATGGCGACCTCGCTTCGAATACTTGGAACTAGAAATTGGCAGCAACGTTTACACGATGTCACGCTTATGGTGCCGAGTTGGCTTTGCTTTATTGTTTGACTTTGTTCCGAAGCACCGAGTCGGTTCCCGAAGCCGTGACGAGCCGCACCACGCATCACAGTCATAACTCCAGGACCTGTCGCATATTGTCATACATTTGAATGGCAAAACCCAAAGAAAGTGACTGTTTAATTATACCTCAGCAAGATGTCACAGATATCCTCGGACGCCGTGCTCAGCGCTACGGTGTTTCAACGTGAGAACGAGCCAAAATGTGTTTGTCCATATCCAAGTTATACAGGCTCCCGCCCGTGCAATTACTGCGCATTATCATACCGGGAATACGCCCTCACGACCGCGCCCAGCGGAATCGGTGCTCACAAGCGTTTGAATGTAGACGTGGCCAGCGATGCGAAGGTGGCGCAAGAGGCGGTACCCGTGCGCGTCCCCGCATTTCAAGATACGGATCCATCGGAGTAACGGAACCGGCCCGATCTACCCGTGGGCGAAAGGCCAGGACATGATACTTTATCGAGGCGCATGTCAGGAGACAGGTTTGAAACCATTATGGATTCGCCGCATAACAGTCTGTTATCATTTTAGGCCTCGGACAATGCCGCCATCGCATAATACGCGCGTCACTAGCGTGCCTAAACGTTGTTGTCACCAAGCCGCTCAGAAACACTCCGTAAAAAATGGTATGTATTCGGCACGAGTTTTGGCGGGAATGTTTACAAGTCATGCCACCACAGTAGAAATCGCGGCTGTTCGCTATCCTAACTATCACTTCTTCTTGAAAAATGACGTAATGCTCTTGGTACCGACCGCCGACTTCGCCAACGCCTTCTGCTTCGCATTCTGAGGCGTCGCGTCCTGGAGATGACAAGCGAAAAAGAGGTCAATGGACACGGCCCGGGGCCTGCGTGGGTTCAGAGAAGTGGGCGGCATTCTCCATCCGGTCTATGCGGAGAGCATTATGAGCAGCAACAGCACGATGATAACACACGCTACTGGCAGTCATGGCGTACTCGCCCACCACGCAACATTTGAATGGGATCCCGAATATGATGCAAAATATACTGCGTCGACAGCCCAAGGGCAAACAAGTATCCCACCAGCTTTACAACGTCCGCGAGCCAGCTGACCCAAGCCTGTGTGTCGCACACCGCCTCGGCCCCCAACATGGTAGATGTGCTGGGGAGAGACGCCATTGCAGGGAGCCGGATCGGTCGCCGACGCCGACGTGGGGACTGGCTACCCAGACACAAGGTCAGAAAAAGTCGCTTCCCGCCGGCGCACGAAAACGACACACATCAGCCGCATCGCCAAGGACTTGGGGCAAGGGGAGGGACACCGTTACCGGCACCCAGTGAGCTTGCAACGACTGGTGCCAGGTCTAGTCATAACGCGACCTCTCCACTGAAACCAGCGCCAGAGGAAGGCGAGAGCTGAAGGGCCGGTAGCGAGGCTTAGACGGCAGCGCCCGCGAGTCAGTTACGGCTTCATAGCACCCATGACTGCAGCGGAGAGCCTATGACGCCCTCCAGCCGGATCCCTCCCCACACGCTGTACAGGCAGAGCAGGCACCGCCACCGGCGTACCTTCTGACCGAGCGGCGTCGGCTGGCCGTAGTCCTCGAGCGGGGTGAGCTGGGCGCGCGGCCGCTTCCTGGCCAGCCGGTCTCCCTCATCCGACGGCTGACTGCGGGCCTTGCGCTCGGGCAGCTGCAGCCGGCGGCGCAGCGCGGTCCCCAGCGCACCGCTCAGGCAGTCGGACGTGATGCCGCAGGCGAACTCCAGGTACGCCTCTGCCGGCAATGTGGCGGCGCGACTGAGCGGAGCGGCGGAGCGGTGCCGCGCGCGACTCGGACGGACCGTGCCGCACACTTGAGCGGACCATGGCGGCGCGATTGAGCGAGCGGTGCCGCACGCGGCTCGAGCGGACCGTGCCGCACACTTGAGCGGACCGTGGCGGCGCGACTGAGCGGAGCGGCGGAGCGGTGCCGCACGCGACTCGAGCGGACCGTGCCGCACACTTGAGCGGAACGTGGCGGCGCGACTGAGCGGTGCCGCACGCGACTCGAGCGGACCGTGCCGCACACTTGAGCGGAACGTGGCGGCGCGACTGAGCGGAGCGGCGGAGCGGTGCCGCGCGCGGCTCGAGCGGACCGTGCAGCACACTTGAGCGGACCGTGGCGGCGCGACTGAGCAGAGCGGCGGAGCGGTGCCGCACGCGACTCGGGCGGACCGTGCCGCACACTTGAGTGGCCCGTGGCGGCGCGACTGAGCGGAGCGGCGGAGCGGTGTCGCGCGCGGCTCGAGCGGACCGTGCCGCACACTTGAGCGGACCGTGGCGGCGCGATTGAGCAGAGCGGCGGAGCGGTGCCGCACGCGACTCGGGCGGATCGTGCCGCACACTTGAGTGGCCCGTGGCGGCGCGACTGAGCACAGCGGCGGAGCAGTGCCGCACGTGGCTCGAGCGGACAGTGCCGCACACTGAGCGATACGGCGCGTGGTCCCGGGGGGCCGCCACCACGAGTGGCTGGTGGAATCGCTACCGGAGACGGCCCGGGAACCGCTACACCTCTCACAAGGTCTGAAGGACCAGCATCTCACATGACACGACAGAGCAGCACCCGGCACCGCACAGTCGTACAATCCAGCGTGGTCGGACTGAGAACGCCGACATGCTCCAACTCACCATATGCCGAGACCTGGCCAAAGAACTATCGAAGCAAACAGACCCTACGCAACAGGCCAAACAATATACCCACGGCCCCAATAAATAGAACAAGCAGGACTATGGTTCCGATACACGTTTACAAAGAACGTTTTTGTCGGAACGGGCCACGCCCCGAGCGAGCTAACGTCCGCTGATCGTGGCAGCCGCGCGTGGCGTGCTTCGGCGGCCGTACCATGTCCGGCGTCCTGCCGCGCCACCTTGACGAAGCTGGCGGCCTGGCCGCTGGTGCCGTGCAGCCGCTTGGTCTCCAGCAGGGCGGCCAGCCGGCGCGTCTTGCGCTCCAGCCAGGCCAGCGTCCGCTCCTCGCTGTACTTGAACGCTTGCAACTCGGCGTCCCCTGCAAGCACCAGCCGGCGCGTGTCACCGCCGGCTGGCACACGCAGGCAGCTGTGTGGTCTGAGGTCTGGCATGTGCTTGTCTGGTTTGGTTTGGTTTGGTTTGGTTTGGTTTGGTTTGGTTTGGTTTGGTTTGGTTTGGTTTGGTTTGATTTGGTTTGGATTGGATTGGACTGGTTTGGTTTGGTTTGGTTTGGTTTGGTTTGGTTTGGTTTGGCTTTATTTTTTTATTTGATTTGATTTGATTTGATTTGACTTGATTTGATTTGATTTGGTTTGGTTTGGTTTGGTTTGGTTTGGTTTGGTTTGGTTTGGTTTGGTTTGGTTTGATTTGATTTGGCCTGGCCTGGCCCGGTCCGGTCTGGTGGTCTGGTCCGGTCTGGTCTGGTCCGGTCTGTCCCGTTCTGTTTCAGTCTGGTCCGGTCTAGTTGGGGCAGGTCAGATGGGTTCAAATCACGACTAGTTCGATTAGAGCTAGTCGTTGGGTGCGCGTCTGAGTCCAATCATCCGTTGACATTGTCGTCTGGCCAGAGCGGCATATCCGAGTGCCGCACACTCTTGTGTGCTGACTGGGGTTTTAGGGCAAGCCAGCCTGGTGTTACTTTGCGCCCTTAACAGATAAGCGACTACCTAGGCGGGTAAATGGCCACAAATATGATATTACTAAAAAATGAGAACAGCTGAGCCGTGGCAAATGCGCCGGAGTCGTCCCCAATGATGCCTGAATAGGTAACTGGACCATCTCACCCAAAATACCGTAACCGGTCTTCACTGAAAGGGAACATGAGTAACTTGGCGAACTGCAAGTGGTGCATCGCAGCGAGGGCAGTGACGATGTTCTTCACCACACAGAAGACAGCCATGCGTGCCGTGCGCGTCAACAGTGCGTATTCGGCAAACGACTACTTCTCCTCGTCTCGCATCGCGTGGGCTCGACGGCCAGAGGCCCAGCTGTGGCTTGATGGCTTTCAGCTTACTGTTTGCGGTGACGTCCTATAGACGTCGCCATTTCGCTTTAATAAATGCCGTAATGGCAGAGAAGAAGTTCCTGGCCGGCAGGGGCGAAGTGCAAGTGCAAGGTGCATGCGCTGCCCGTTTTGCCGCCGCGTCGGCCAGCTCATTACCTGCGATGCCCGCATGGCTGAGTATCCAACATGGGACGACAGTTTTAATCGCACTATCCAGCGCTGTCAGGCGACTCAAAACGCCCTGTATAATGGGACACGGCGAGTTACAAGCTGTCAGAGCCAATTAGCTGCTCAAAGAGTCAGAGAGGATCACCTGTGAATTGTCTTAACCAACTTCGATGAAGCACAGCCCCCTGCCAAACCGCTAAGCGCGCCCCAACAATACCGCTCGTCGTGATTTGCGTCCTCCCCCGCCCTGAAACAGACGCCACGCAGACCGGGCGTCGTAGGCCGTCGCTGTGGCGCGTGGCGGCGCCGCGGTCATCTCACGGCCACGCACCCTTGCTCTCGGCGATGAGCGCGAGTCGACGGCTGTCGACCAGCTCAGTCAGCCGACGCGCGTCCGGGAACTCGCTGTCGGTCAGCAGCTGCTCCAGCTGCTCGGCGTACTGACTCTGCAACATCGGCGGTCGGCTCAGCCGCCATCGCAAGAGACACACGCGTCCGTGCTGGCGAATATCCACGGAGCATCCCCGTGTAATACGGTAGCGGCACGGAAGAGTTGCGTTCACACGATCGTGGGGACACGACAGCAACAGTGCAAGCTTCGACTGACAGTATCTGCGGTGGCAGCGGTAGCGCACGCGCGGCCCCGCCGGGCTTCGGTGAGGCGGGCCGGCCGCGAGACCTTAGGCGAGCTCCCAAGCTGGCGTCCACTCACCTTCTGCATGTACGACAGCACGACGAAGAGCGGGTCGAACGGCGTGCAGACGTGCATCTGCCCGTCCGTGACGTCCACTCACCTTCTGCATGTACGACAGCACGACGAAGAGCGGGTCGAACGGCGTGCAGACGTGCATCTGCCCGTCCGTCTCCACCGCCGAGCCGACCAGCCACGACCTGCCGGCGCAAAAGACTGTCACACACGATCACTCACAACCTGCCAACGCCGGAGATCGTCAGATACGGTCAGACACGGCCCGCCACGCCGGAGACTGACAGAAACAGTCAGGCACAATCTGCTGGCGCTGGGACTGTCAGACACGGTCAGCCACAGCCTGGTGGCGCCGGAGACTGTCAGATGCCGTCAGTCGCGGCCTGATGGCGCCAGAGACCGTCAGGCACGGGCAGACATGACTCGCCGATCCACCACATTGTTAGACGGGCACTGGCTGACCAAACTTCAGGGCGCATTTCGGCATCTATTCAAAAGTTTTTGTATAATCTTAGATGGTTCTAAAACTTCTATAAAACATATATGCGTGCATTCAGTAACTTCCAATTATATAGAAGTTGTTCAATGCAGCTAACCTTTCTGACAGTTATGCCAAAAGGAATAAATCTATTAGTACCGTTTTATATCAGTATATAACTACTCACGCAGGTGTCAAAGCTGACAAATCTGCTCATCCGTGTCAAAATTTGCTCTAAACTTTGTATGACGCGCATATCTCGCACACACATGGAAATCAAGGCATGTACACAACTCAGCCATACAGCCTCCTGGATGGTCAGATCCCACTTCAATACCTAAGTTGCCCCGCGGGGTCGGTACTGCCGCTGGTTGCCACATGCTGGGACAAAACACGGTCAGGTACGACCAGCAGATGTTAAAATAAAACACTTGGATGCCCGGTACTGCCACTGGTTGCCACCCGCTGGTACAAAACACGGTCAGGTACGAAAGGAGGGTGTCAGAAAATAAAACACTCAGATGCCCGGTACTGCCACTGGTTGCCACCCGCTGGTACAAAACACGGTCAGGTACGAACGGAGGATGTCAGAAAATAAAACACTCGGAGGCCCGGTGCTGCCACTGGTTGCCATCCGCTGGTACGAAACACGGTCAGGTACGACCGGCGGATGTTAGAAAATAAAACACTCAGATGCCCGGTACTGCCACTGGTTGCCACCCGCTGGTACAAAACACGGCCAGGTACGAACGGAGGATGTCAGAAAATAAAACACTGAGATGCCTTCACCTCAGCGACATTAAACGCGAGACACAGCCACCCGTTATTCATTTGTGACCATGAGCTGACTGAAATATTCTGTATTTCTCACATGTCCTGATGAAACATTTCTAGCTTTGTTCATCCAGTACCCACTAACACATTTTGTCAGCTATTTTCATGGTTTGCATGTTCGTATTTGACGAAATTTTAGTGTGGATGTGGCAACTGGCTGCCGCGGACCACACGCTGCTTTTTCCAAGGTGCTAGTGGGTTATTCTAGACACGTGTGCATTTTTTGTAATCCCGGGATCGGGGATATCTAGATTAGCTTCAGACGTGGTGCAGGCGCACCTAACCGCTGCGGGATACATGCTGCTTTTTCAATGTGCGGGTACACTTTGTATTTGTTATGTTTGGCTCCGGCGCTCGTTCCGGATATGCGCGTCAGAAAAATATACAGGGGACGGCCCTTTAAAAACACCGAACCCGTCACACGCAAAATAAAGTCGAAGGCAAAGCGTGGACAGCACAGTCCCAGTATAGATACAGTCACCTGTCGAAAGGACACTAAGACGGACAAGTGTTGGGAGACCGTATCGGCTTAGCGCGCCGACTGCTGGGCGCTCGGCGCCTGTGCCTCTACAAAATGTAAGCCCGGCGGAGGTATCGCCGGCCCTTCGGCGACCTTTCCCTGAGATCCCCGGCCCTTCTCTATGCTTTATAACCTTGCGTTGTATCTAACGTGCCTTAAAGAAAAGAAAGTCCTGCAGGAATGTTGAGACTACGTACTCGGGCATTACTTCTGATCCGTTTTATGCCACGCACTCCTGCCGTGCTTGCATCGTCTCGTAGCAACCAGAATACCTAATATGCCAATGTGTCGCTCATGTGTGGGGTTAAATCGCGTGCTGACCCTTGCCTGGCGATGTTCAATGCGTCTGGATGGACCGTCTGAAGGACAACAGCAGAGCAATGAGTAATATGCGCCCTGGATTGTTGTTCCATGAGGCAGGACGCGTCGTAGTCCGGTCCACGTTTTGACGTCTATTCCTCCATCTTGCATAGTTCATACATTGAGTACAGCTTCGGGCGACTGCGAATTGTCCACGAGTTCAATCGAATGTTTGTCATGACGGGCTACACGCGTCACCGATGCTTGACCATGACTCGTCGCGGGTAACGATGGAGGTAGGCCTGTGCGGCACACAGGCACAGCCTTACACCAGGTGGCTACTTTTATGGGGACAAATCCGAAGGCGTACAGGTGTACGGTTCCGCTCACCGTTAAAGGGGTCTGATTGTCGCACATAACCTGCAGACTGTGTGCACCGACCACACTACAGCCCCCCCCCCCCCCTCTTAATATGAACGGTGACAAGCATGCATAAGACAGTGTAAACGCTTGAATGCCAGTTGCAGAATGCCAGTAAGGTGACGTTTGCTGCCCATGCTAGAGTATTAAAGCATCTGTTCCGTAAAAGCCCACATATTGTCGGCGAGCCAACCTTTTCGGCACAGTGTTGCAGTATTCGGCCACTTGCGTGGCAGGGATGTTAACATTTGTCATGCTATAACACCCCGACTTTGGGCTCACAGCGTATGGCCACTCCCCTTGCTCAAAATCGGCCAGCCAATCAGCATCGAACCGGGCGGCTATCCAATCAGCACCTATGCGCCTCAGGCTTGACAACTGGGCTGAGTAGGTCAGATATTCGAGTCCGGGTCAAAGGGCAACGAATTAGCGCCAACGAAGTGCGTGCGAGGATCGCCGAAGTCAGAATTCTGGTAGCATAAATTTGTATTTACATCCTGCACACCCCACTGGACGAATTTTGGAACGCTGTTTCGCCACCATTTGCAGTCGCTCCCAGTAGGTTGGTTTACGACAGGGAATTGCCCCGATGATAATTACCTGCGAATCAATACAGTGGGCCAACCATCCAACAGCCGCCATTGGTAATGACATGTGTAATCAATCCCAACAAATACTATTATTGCCGGTAGACGTATTTCTCTCAAGGTGCTTTTCTTTCTCAGGTTTATAATCAGTAATTAGTCACTGTTTCTAGACTATCGTAGCCCGCAGTGGCCGCCAATCGTGCTAGGATGATGGGTGGGCGATGTCAAATATTCTGAGTGGCTGAGCGCACCGCAAATCCCCAATGGCAGGATCAATACGAGAGACGAAAAGAGGGTCAAACGCCGCCGATCATTCCCGCACGCACAGCGAACCTAACAACTGAATTAGCATGTTCATAAACGTGGTTATTCCGATGACGTGACCCCTATTACCTCCCTGATTAATATTTGTAACACCTATTCAAAACATGGTGCATCACACAGCGCCATACGCGAGTTCTTAACTTCAATAATCATATGGGAACGCCACCTAAGTTATGAAGTCAGTTCAGCAGCGCTTGTTGCTTTTATGCAAGTTGTGCTTTGAGAATCTTGTGATTGCCATTTTGTGTCAGTCAGGAATGCATCTATCACCACATCAACATTGCTGAGAAATAAAGAGCCTTTATCCTGCTTATGTTGATGGCCAGCAGGACGAATATAGCCAAGCATTAGAGTAAAAGCAAGAGAGCTGAAAAAGCACAACCAAACAAAGCATGCAATATCACCTGATAGTGGAAAACCACATGTGACATCTCAGCTAGTATGAAGATACTGTCAGTGAGTTTACAAGGAAAGCAATGAACACAAACAAAAGAATAAAAAAACTTGAAACCCATGTGTAACATACTGATACAGTATAGGGAATGCTGCCTCAGAGTTAAGTAGGAAGACATTTCAAGAATCATAAAAACCTGTGTAACAACCATGTTAGCAACAACATACCTGGGACTGTTATCACAAATTTCAATCTGTAGCATATCCTTTGAGTCTGAGTCAAGCAGAAAGCCAGTGGCCCCTCCAGTCCTTGGGTGTCTCAGTCGCAGGGCTTCCAGTCTCCTCTCCTTTGTTTCAGGCTTGCTGGCACCTCCTGTGGCTGCAGAACACAAACATGCCAGCCAAGAAGGTAGTGCTTTCCTATCAAAACATCAATGCTGGAGATCAGCCCACCTCCATCCCTAAATGTCCCTTAGCTGGTTAGAAAAATTGTCTTTTTTAGATGTTTTCATAAAAATGTACACTTCAAAAGAGTTCTCAGATATCTGTTTGCTCTTGATAGCATTCAAATACACCCCAATTGTCAAATTACTGTGCTGTTTCAGATGACAGCCAAGACCTGCATGAGGAAAATCAGATGCCAGAAATCAGAAACAACTTGAATGCCTTTTTTGTTCTCAAAAATGTCTATCACCTTTTAAGCCCAACCTCTGAGGAGCTTTTTAATTTCTAAGCACTTAACAAAAACTAGATAATTTGCATTCTGTGGCAAATTTCAGGTGCAATTATCAGCTTGCTGACAGCATAAAAAAGCAAGGCACATTCATACTGCTAAGTAGGTACCCTTGGTTCATCAATTCCACCATGTGCAGGAAACTCAATGCAACATTTGGAATTGGCAAAGCCACCATATCTTGCACACATGGTTTTGACACAAGTAATAAAGGAATAAACATTGCTCACAGCTGGCAATATTATCTGACATTGCATGAAAATCAACACCTAAAAGGTCTCGAAGTTCAACAATTTGGTCTATGGTCTAGAATTGTACAATCTTAAGGCAAAAGTGTGCAGGCAGGTACCTACCTCTGATGATGAATATCTTGTGTCTTGTGTCAGACATTCTTTCACGCAAAATTACTACTGGGAACGTCACTACACTAGCAAAGGTTGGCCTAAAAAGGGAGGGAAACTAGGCACCTCAAAATTGCCAGTCAATGCAGCTCAATGAAATGGACATATAACCTATATGTAACAGTTGTAGAACACACGGGTTAATTGGGCATTCAAGTACTGAAATGGAGATGGGAAGAAGCAACACGGAGAGCTTCACAAAGACGGGTCTATTGTTCAACCGAACTCCACCAAAACGTGGTTCCAAATCCCTGAACCGCGAAATTTGCGAGCCTGGCGACCCTTCCCAGCGGTTTCCCTCTCCTCCCGTCAACGCCCCTCCGGGGCAACAGAGCACTGTGTGGATCTTCCGGTTATGTTTGCGGTCTTATCTCTGCTTACAAATCCTACCATATTGGCGCATACATGCGTACAAAATTCTGTAAAGGATTCCCCTTATTTTGGGCATATTTTTGGAGACTAGAAGCAAAAAACGCGCAAAGCAAAAAATCGTGTCTTATGCACTTTGGGACATGATAAACAAACAGTGCATCAAAATGCTAGGTGTTTGGGGAGGGATCACATTTTCGTTGTTTCGGTCATACGTTCATGGATAAATTGATAGTCCGCTGGCCTCGGGATTATATTTAGGGTTCTGCCAAAGACAGGAAAACATTTCGGTCCTAGTTGCACTTGTTGCTGGGCGAGTTTGCTACACTGGTAGCAAAATTTGTATCCATCGTAGAAGTTGTTAATACAAGACGAGACTCGTTAAACCGGGAGGATGTTTGGTCGTTTTTTATGTGCTCGCAGTCTAATTTTTTTAACGGGAGATTTTCTGGGATCAGCGTCCACGTTAAGAGTGATTGCTATGGGAGCTCTGACCCCACCATCCAATCGTGAAATTACGGGTCAGCAGCAGACCCCTGAGGCGAAACCTTATGACAGAGTGTCACAGTATGATCGGCACAGACCGTCATGCCCTCTAAAGCCACCTGGCTCTCAGCGTGGCCGTTGTTTTGGGCCGTACACCATACAAGTTATTAACATGAAGTGTGCGCTTACAGAGACTCAAACTCAGAGTTGGCGCCACGAATTTTCAGTTGGGGGCAGGATATTCCAGGGGACGGGGGCGGATCCAGGATTTCGTCAACGGGGGAGGCCGCGCAACATTGTGGGATAAGCACCCCTAGAGTTTGAGGGCCTGTTCAAAAAAAAATGCAGCCCGGCCATTTCATTTCAAGACAAATAGAATGTAACTTACATATTATATATATATATATATATATATATATATATATATATATATGTGTGTGTGTGTGTGTGTGTGTGTGTGTGTGTGTGTGTGTGTGTGTGTGTGTGTGTGTGTGTGTGCGTGTGTGTGTGTGTGTGTGTGTGTGTGTGTGTGTGTGTGTGCCAATACAACCCACTTCTTGCAGGCAGCCCTATAAAGTTAGTCGTGCTACGTATGCATGTGCATGGGGCTTATTCATTTTCTCCAGAGCATGATGAGTTCTGTGATTTTGAAGCTTAGCATCTGAATGAAAAGAGAGAGGCAAAATAAACTGAAGTTCGCCGCAAAGTACCATCAAAAGCAAGTACGAACATGATTTTTAGTTTATTTACGGCAAGCCGGATGGTCGATGTGATCAGGGGATGGTTGGTGACATGTGAGCAATTTGGCCCTTGTTATAGCGGAATACAAAAATAAACATTCAAAACGTATATAGAACAGGGTGCACAAGTATAAGGAGTGTCACAAATTTAAAAGCCAGGAGAAATGACACATACGACATGGGAGGTGCCTAACATTACGTTTGGCAATTACGCGTAAAGTTCATTGGTGTATATCCTACAGCTGCTCTAAGGCTAAGGCGCCAAGGCCAATGCAGACCGAACCTGAGTAGTCGAGGGTGCCGCAGCAAGCCAACACAGAGGCTCCCGTCAAGGAGCATAGGGTCCTCAGCGCTAGCAAGAAGAACCCAAGATCAACGCGGTGGCCGCTGAACGATCGAGAGTGCCCTGGCAGGCTGACATATCGGACTCCGGCCAGAGCCTAGGGCCCTCTGAACAAAGGGGAATTACCCAAGACCGGCGTACGCGCACGCGTAAAGGCCCCCTGCGCGATCAAGAGTGTCCGGGCAGTTTGGCGAAAAATGTTCCGATAGGAGTAAAGGATTATCCGCAAATGAGATCAAAGGGAAAGAGCCCTCAATGAAAGCGGAGGGCCCTGAGCATCAAGTGTCTCGGTACCTGACCTGACGTGAGTGCCAGCAAAGCACAAGACCCTCCGACCAGTGGAGAGAACCGAGACTTATACGAAGGGTCCCTGAGCATCTGGCATATAGAGCCCTGCAAAATGTGTGGAGCCTTTCGGACAAATGGGAAGAATGCGTGAGGGAAAACCTGATCGATCCAGAGTGCCCAGGCATGTTAGCAGATAGCGTCCCAACAGCAGCATAGAGCCCTAAGAAAAAATGCAGAGATCAACCGCAACGTGGAAGGGTCTATAACGATCAGAATGACCCGACAAGTGGACATATATGGCCCGGGTAACAGTGTGAGGCCTCTGGACAGTGTAATGAGCCCCAAAATTTCACTCAATTTACACCCTCTCAAACAGCGGAGAAGTAAGTTTTTCTACTCATCGGCTTTTTACTCTTGCCTGCAACTGTCCTTGGTCTTCTGTAAGCCCAAAGACGTCCCATTGTTTTGTGTTTCGCAACTGTATCCGTTCGGCCGGTTATGGACCCCTTTGGAACCTATGGGTCCCTCGGGGAAAAAGGGGGGACGGTGGGGGGCATGCTCCCATGCCTTCCCCTATCTGTATCTGCCATTGGACTGGTCCGAGCAGGTTGATGGATGGGCTGCGTCATGAACATAGAGCAATCGATTCAAACAAGAAGTACACAAGACACCCCATAAAGTCCTCGGAATGGTCGAGAGTGCTCGAGCAGGTTAACGGATAGGGATCCCCGAGAGCGTAGAAAAGCGTAGAGCCCTTCATTCAAATAAGAAATACGACACCATGTGGAGGGCCCCCGAGAGATCGAGCGTGCCCGAGAGGGTGAACAGTTAGGGTCCCCGTCAAGAGCGTAGGGTTTTCCATTCGAACTGGAAGTACCCAAGGTCTAAAGAAGAGGGTCTCCAATGGTCCAGTGTCCCCGAGTAGAATAACAGATAGGGCTTTCAACAGTAGCATAGGGCCCTCCATTCAAACAGAAAGTACCCACACCGAATGTAAATGACCCCCGAACGATTGAATGTGCCCAAACAACTTATCAGACGGGGCTTTGACCAAAGCGTAAGGTCCTTCATTCAAATAAGAAGTACCCAAAGCCCACTGCTGAGGGCCCCAAAACATTGAGAGTATCCGTTCAGGTCATCAGATGGCCCCGACAGGAGCCTAGGACTCTAAATTCAAACATCAAGACTCAATGTCCAGGGCCCCCGAACAATCCAATGTGGCCAAAGAGGCGAACGGAGGGGGCCTCGACAAAGTACGTTATCGTGAGTGTGTAGGTAGGCTAGTCGAGAAAAACGCAAAGTGCCCCTGAGAAACCGGGAATGCCCCGGCAGGTTAACATATTTAGGCTATAACGTACCTTTAGCATGCCTTTCTGACGAATGGGAAGAATTCGCAGAAGACCCCTGATTGACAAGAGCGTCCGGCACGCTAGCAGGGAGGGCCCAGCAACAGCGCAAGGCCCCCAAGCAAATGCAAAAGAAAAAAATCAACGGCAACGTGGAAGGCGCCTTACAGATCGGATTGACCGTGGAAGTCGGTGTTTAGTTTCCCTGAAAACGGCATAGGGCCCCTAAACAGCGTAATGCAGCATTAATTTCTTTATCACAGAACTTTTATTAAGCGAATAATTATTTTTGTTTAATCGTTTGTCCTTCGCTATCGCTTGTGACATTGGTCGCCTGGAGGCCCAAAGACGTCCAATTTTGTTGCGCTTTGTGTTTCAAAAACGGTATCTGTTCGGCCAGCTATGGGGCCATTTCGGGGCCCAGGTGGGCATGGCGTTGTGTCCGCCTCCGGATATGTCTCTGTCAAGTCCCCTGGACAGAATGGGACCGCCTCACCGGGGCCTCTCGGGCAGTGTGGTATTCAAGGGGAGGGGTCCCGGAGGTACGTGCTTCCTCGTCGAATCATTACACGCGCCAATATTCACGTAAAGAAGCATCGACGATTAAAGATCCAGACTGAGGGCCTTCTAATAAATACAGGTGTTTTTTGATCCAGCAGACGGCCCCCCGATCCTAAGCCCAGCTGCGTGGGTCTGGCTGTCTTCTCCCCCGCGCTATTTCCTAGACAACAGACAGGCTCGCTTCAGATCAAGATCACTGGAATGGGACCAGCAACTTTTGGGAGATCGCAACATCAGCCCACCAAGATTTTCGTCCTTTATTGTTTACAGTCCTCCACATACAGTATCATGATTTGTGCGCGAAGGTGTCACGCCTGGTAGAGGTTAATGCCACTCGTAGCGTGTGTGCCACTTGTTGCTTCGCAGTGACAAGTGTCTGAACAGACATTATAGTGTGTCATGCATGTTTATGTATGCATTACATTTGTCTACAAACATGCGTCATGTATTTAATGCATTAGTTACATAATCATGTTTTATAACACACCCAGCTTCTGTGAGATGTATCCGTGCAATGAGAGCAAGAAGACAACAAAGAAGACAATGTAAGACAACAACAGAATTATCTGATGAAATTTCGAAACTGGGCCAACATTCAAGATGGCGGTGACCACCATCTTGAATTCTGAGAAATGTGCAAGTTTGCGCAGGTGGTAAGCAAGCTGATTTGGCTCTCCCAGCTACATAAAACTAGTTACATAGAGCATTTCCATCAAAAGTTCGCGGTAGTTTAAATTCCAGGGTTTCATATCAGAAGTATAGGGATGGCAACTCGACTACGCGTACCCAGTCAAGTGAAAAGCGTCCTCCATAGTGCATATGCCGTGTATGTAGCACATGTGTACATTATTATGGCATATAATACACGCAGCTTCTGTGGGCGGTATCTCATAATTAGCACAAGAAGACTACGAGCGACATATACAGATCAGGGGGTGATTTTCCTTATTCGTGATATTTTTACCTCCGACCCTCGATTTAACCTTGAATTTGACTCCATGCGTGGAAAATAACTGCAACAATGAATACTTTGCTAAAAGACTCTTTAAAACAGTGGCGCACGGTCTTGCACGAACCTCCGATTCATCGAGAAAAAAAATCATTGAAACTGAACCAACATTTAAAACAGCGGTGACCGCCATCTGGAATTGTCAGAAATGCTAGTAATTGCACAAGTAGCAACCAAGCTAATGTGGATCTACTA